AGATCTTCAAGAAGGGTTATCAATAATGGGATGGGTGATGATTTCAACTGCATACGCTGTGATTAACAATAATGCTCAGGGTCAATACATTTTGTCAAATGTATGACATGTCTTACGTGAATGAACATATTGTTTATACTCGTCCATGTTTTTGACGGACAAAATAATTTACATGCTCGGTAAAACTGAGGATGGGCATCATTGTGTGTTTCCGTGCTTTGTTCAGGTGAACAATTGACTTGTCCTTGCATGTGTTTGTGACGGGTGCCACTTGTGTGGCAGGATACGCTCACCTTTTCCCGAACACCCATTGGATGACTTGAACCACTTCGGATTTTTATCCCACATCAGTCTGATACACCATGATATAACTGAAATACTGAAATACTGTACAGTTGAAAATGATGTTTAATGCGATTACCGTAGTGTGTTACTGCAACTGTTCATATTTTGTGCAGTGATATTATGTAATATGTAAAAGAAAGCATATTCAATTATCCAATTGATTTGAATAGAATATACTTGCGTCAGCGTATTTTATTAACGCCCCCAAATCGTAATTTAAACACATAAAATAACAGATCACGCATGGTGCCTTGACTTACTACTAGATTTAATGGGCCACCCCGGAATAAAATAGTTCCCCCAAAAGCGAGGAACATATATTTTAGTATGTTTACAAGAAATATATTCCAAACAATATCCTCATTAGATAAGACGATCTTTTACAGAATTACCTCAGTAAGTCAATTACAATGACAAATACATTTACATCAAGTACAATACGTCAAAATGGCCGACACGATAAACGTGACGGGAGATATTTTCGAAGTTGTTAATTAACCTGTGGCTATTTCAAGCCTTTGGCATCACTGATCAGTTGGCCGATCATTGAAAGGTGATTGTGAAGATGTGTCAAATAGATACTAAGGTAAATTCATAGATTTCTGTAAATTGTCACTGCGACAGTTTGGATTTTTTTTCGTGTTTTTTCTCTCTTGGAGTGGTTGTAGCGAGGGTATCCTTAAATGGGCTTGCAACCACGCTTCTGTATGAATTCGTACCAGGGAATTCGAAGGGTTTTCCCTAGGAATGTGGAAGTAGTCAGTGTTTACGCCTTTTCAAGAATACAGTGACGTGAAGAACGTCATGTGACCGATCTCGCGTCCAAGTCGTAAATCTTTTAAACTTCACATTAAAAGATTAGTTATTGTTATAACCAAATGAAACACAACCCATTATCCGATAGGGGTAACTGTACATAGCCGTTACCACAATAAACTTAGTAACATTGTTTGGTTTGACTTCTTGGCGCGTGTCTGAATTCCATTAACATGTAACATATCCTAAAACTAGCTTATCAGCAAATCTCGCTGCACTGCGCGCGACAGATACTAGAGCAAGGCATGCCAGAAATACGAAACCTAAAGCTTCCGAAAGGAAGCCTTGGACATCACGTGCGTCGGGGGACCAGCGCCATCTGATTGGCCGTTAACAGTTGTACAAGGCGGAGCAAAAAGCATCGTTTTTCCGTCCATTTTACGCTTGAAAAACTCGACCCTTTTCTGGACACTTTCTAGACGCTGACCAATTAATCAATTTTAATGAATTTTTAGTCGTTTTTCCGTCCAATGACCATATACGGGAAAAAACGACGTTTTCGTGTTTGCAGTGTTATGAATCGCTCAAAACAAAATATTTCCAAGGTTTACCCCAAAACATCAATACACTAATCAAGCTCCTCCGTTTTGATATAATATCTAACGAGCATCAAAAGAATACTATCCTATACATTAATTATGGTTTACGACTTCGCAACCGTCTTTGTGCAAATGATGTTTAATTATTCTTGAGGTTATTTGTCTTTATTAATCAAATGCTTTAATCTCCTCTTGTTGTGTTGTGATGCGATTTATTTTTCACAAAATTGTACACGTGCACATCTCTGTGCATATAAGTCTGCATGTTTATACTTGTACATATACAAAATCGTATATATATATAATAGTATTGAATGTATATGGGCCTATGGCTTGAATACAATAAATGATGATGATAAGGGAAAAACAGTGGTAACTTTAATGATCTTTTTGAACCATTTTGGTATATACGTTATTATCATCGGGGCATGGATGTCCATCTCGTATTAGGCGTTGTAATTCCCTGTGCAGAGTGTGTCCCATTGGCGTGTCAAAAACATAGGATCGGGTGTTCGAATAACAGATTTGTCCTGGTTATGTTTCTAGGCTTTGGGGCACTAAATTCATTCTCGTTGGTTTCACTGAAGAGCTAAACATCTGACAACTGCAACAGTTCGGATATTTCCCCCTGCATCACGCTGTCACATGACCAAATTGAAATACTGCTTCTCAGTTACAAAGCTGTAAATATTATACTTTATCATACAACGAGTACGTATCCCGGCAGGATTAAGCCAACTGATAAGACCAGTATCGGGCGGGGTCATATACGGATAAAATTGCAAATATGAAAGGTCAGGTAGGTACTTCTTTCAGTGTTTACAAACAAACATGGCGTTGCCCTTGTTCATCGGAGATCGAGTCTGAAATGACCATCGGGAACCTGGAGAAACTACTGGGATAATTGTTATTATTTTAAAAACAAAAGTACACATCTGCAGATTGGGGTCTTTGTCCCAATTTAGGACAGTTGGATTTGGCCGAATTATGGTACCTTGTTTAATTTGTCGCAGTGTGTACATCTGACACTGCACTTAATAACACTATGACAGGACAGGAAGACTCGAAAAGTCTCACGGACTAGGGTTAGAGTAACTTTGATAACGGGCGTGTACTCTTATCAAGCGGACCGATATATTGCCAAGAAAGATCTGTAGAAACAATATGCGTTGGCAATTGTTATTTTGCCTGTATGTTTTTTCGCCACTGTCTAGGAAACAGGTTTGAATTGGAACTATTTTGACTGCTGTTGCTGCCCCACTGACACATCACTGACCTTCTGACGTAATATATATTAATGCGTGCATTCCTGGGAAGTTTCTGGTCTTTCGGCGACAGAAATTAAGAACGACGTTACATGATGAAGTGGTCCCGCTTGTGCGTTTTGGGAAGGTAAATTTTCTGTATTAGGACCAGACACAATGTATTTCCTATTCAAAAACACACTCGCGTGATAACCTCTATGCATTCACTCAGTTCAAAAGCAACATGCTATTGTAACGATTTTAGCAGTTGCTTTGTCTTCGCAAGTGATCGGAAACCGAACGATCTACGACTAGCATTCCGACAGGATCGGGTGTCATCGGCCAAGAGTCGTAGACACTGAGTGGCTAGGCTGAAGAGCGCAGAAAGCCAGTCCCTGATTGGATATACAAGCTGTCGTTTCTGCATAAAATTCACGCTTCATGACTTGCAGACATGTTATTGAAATGTTGTAGGATGTTAATTGTCGCATTATTATTTTGTAACATTCGCTGTCATCTCGAGTAGCTGTCGTGGAAATACTTGACCTATCATTCTATTTAACACGTGCTAGGTAAGATAGATCTTTTTCAACCCGCCATTCCTATATTATTGAGTCAGAGCAGTGTTTGTTATATCATAGCTTGTTTTTGTAAGAGAATGTTATTTCAATAAACTATATGTAAATCTTCTCCGATGCTGTACTTTAGTTCCCTGAGTCAAGCTGCTTTGAGCAATGGATTCGGACAGCCCGTAATTAGGGTTTAATTCAAGAACCTATTTCTATTTATGTACGAGCGTTGAGGTCGTTCAGGACTCGCGCTACGTTACACCATATTAAGTCAAACAGCTACATGGACATCTGATACCAGAAAACGTTGAATTCTGAATCAGTAAGCTGGATTCATACACAGAATGTTACCAATTCGAAAAAAATAGGTTGATCACTTTCCACTGTTTAGTTGAACTTATGTGTCATTACAAATGTATAAATGACCTTTCAAGTTTTTTTTCAAAAATGTAACGGTGAATTGGAAATTTGTGGAAACAATACACTGTTTATTTGAAATGATTAAATTACAAGGTAATTACTTGCTGAAAGATACAACTATTGGCAATAACTTTATCAATTTGCCAGAAAGAACTTATATTCTTTAATTCAGCAAAGGTATTCATCTCAAATCATGATATTAAAAATCAGGACACACACTCTCAAAACACATTCGTTGAACGTTGTGACGCAGTGAAATGTGTCCTGTATTTTGACACTGTGCTGTCAGAGAATTAGTTCTTAGGGAAAAACGACAATATCAAAACATCAAATACAAGAAAACTGTGCACCAACAAACAATAACGATAACAACGATAAGCGTTAATTCTAGCTCAGCAGTGGCAATATAAGTACCAGTACCAGACTGACACATCAGAATGAATTGCGTTTAATACATACATTTATACAACGTTAACACAATGGTTATTCAACGGATACATATCAAGGTGAAGTGATGGGGGGGGGGGGGGGGGGGGGGGGGTTGCTTATACTAGTCCGGACTGATGCCGATTTATAGTGCTACTCAACTAAGATACCATGCCGCAGTTTAACATGAATACCCCACTCAGACACAGTATACTGACTCCTAGCCGACTAGTCATTGTTTTATCCCCTTAATGCCGAGCGCCAGACGGGGTTACAACAAGTACCATCTTTTAACGTCTTTATGAGCAAATATTAATGAGAAACTTAAGAGGAGCTTCAGGGGCTATTTTTCAGTAAGTGTTTAAATATTGGCTAATTGATAAAGAATTACAGATATATGACAGAATCAATTTGGTTCGAAACCAGTATTCCAATACAATTCAACACAAGGATGTTTTCAGAAATAGGTGTCCGACACTGCAACAATTTATGTGTCCACAGCATAATCCCACACTTCAAACTTGCTACCTACTTGCCCACAAACCGGGGCTAGAAAGGACAAGGGTTCTAACAGCTGTTTCCGCATGTGATCATTTGAGTCCGATTGAGGTTATTGTGACTGACCACTCTTCAGTGGTAAACTACAACCGAGTCATTGCTGGAGCATTGTTGTCTTGCGCATCACAAGGATCGGCTGTTGTCTTGCTTCCTGTCATGTCCACCTGCTTGCCGACCGCATGGGTGAATTCGATTAGATACTCAGGGTAAGCTTGATCATCCTTGAAGATGACATAGGCTTGGATGTCCTCCAAGTTGTTGACGGCAGAATCATAGGGAGTGGTTGTGCCTGCTCTCACTGGCAGATACTTCATCGTTCGCTTCCCCTCTACTGGAATGCCCGTCAGTACCTTCGCCTGATACACGTATTTCAATCCTTTGGAATCTGGAGGCGAGTATGTGTCCCTGGACGAATAGGATGGGTCGACAGAAAAGTAGGTCCCATCACCAAATAGGTTGGCTAAACAATGAATTGTTTTTAATCAAATATATCAACATCGACGAGAAGTAGTGAGCATGAGTGAGTGAAAGATTTTGATTTTATGCCGCAGTGAAACATATTTAACTTTTTAACGACCTGTCAGCTTCATGAATGCAGGCCTTAGACGTTTAACACTTTGGAGAAACCCAATCACGTTTGTGGTGCTGAGAAACTTAGAAAAACAATAAGCGCAAATTCTACTATTCTGAAGGACCGACGTCTTTATTACATTGTTGCAAGGTGTTTTTTCTAAATAGAAATGGACTGATAGTTTGAATGTAAATATATGTTTTAAATATAGATATATCTGGTTTTGTAGCTGTATCTGGAAAAATCCTAGAATTTAATTCCCCTAAATATGAAATCGCATTACTGGACTTTTCTGTCCGCTCATCCGTTTGATTACCGTGCACACAACTTTAGTCAAGTTATGCCTTAACAGTAACAAAATTGAAGATGCCATCACTTGTCTACTCAGGGTATCAATCCCTGGCAGATATTTGTTACATGGAAAGGGAAATCAGAGTGTTTGCCAAAGAAGTTCATATTAACTAATTGACAATATACCCAAACGGGAGTCTGCTTGCATATTGTTTCAGTGGCAGCTTTAAACGAAGGGCAAGGTCACCTTCAGAATAAGAAAAGATAACCGTGATCAACATACAACGTCTCTCGCTAGAAATTAATATAAAAAGTTAATGTTACATCTGGGATATTTTGACCCACGAAATCAGGAACATTTTCAAGGAGTTTTCATATGATTTGTACCCAGATGTTCAGTGTGACTGATCGAAAGTGCCACAAAATACACAGACGAATCAACATAAGTTTATAAATTGGTCGAAATATTTAAGGCTGTCTTAATTTTGCCACGCTGAACTTAATTGCATTTACATCATCGCGCTCTGAGGGACCCCAATCTATCTGTAGTCGTACACGCCACATGGAATGGATGTGCTCGAGTAGGTAATTTCTGTAGTAGACCTATGCATAACTGAAGGATTCGAACCGAATTTGATGCGTGTAATGATCTTGTTTGCTTTCCTTATTATTTGTGAATATCAACAAAGTTCGAGTTTCATGCGTGACCTGAGAGAAATCAAAACAAATACACCTAGATCAACTTTGTATGATACACGTGTAACGTAAGGATTTAGTATCTCACCATCCTGTGTGTAAAACATCATGATAACATGCCGACGGAACTCACCATTTGCACCACTGTAACTCCTGTCAAATCCATTTGTGTTTATGTTTTCAACTGAGCCCTGACTGGTTCCATGCCAGAGTATGCGCTCATTGACTTTGTCCCAGCCATTTTGTAGGGAAAGTCGTTCCTCTTCTGTCTTATACTTCCTGTGTAGTAGCCTGTTCTCAATCCGATATACCTGAAGAAGATTATCCAAGAAGTATCAGTCTCAGTGAGTGAGTATGGTTTTACGCCGCATTTAGCAATATTCCAGCAATATCACGGCGGGGGACACCAGAAATGGGCTTCACACATTGTACCCATGTCGGGTATCAAACAGCGGTCTTCGGCGTGACGAGCGGACGCTTTAACCACTAGGCTACCCCACCGCCCCTATCAGTCTCATGACATATTCTTATTATTACATTGAAGGACTCATATCCCCGGCCAATATGACATGTCTGGTTGTGTGCAAGGCACGAAATAGTGTACGGTTTTTCCGCCTTTTTTAGTCTAAGTCAAAGTCGTTGCCATGGAAACTCGAAACATATTTTTAATTAAAATCCCAAGATTGGTGAAGACATATTGTACGGTTTTCAAGATCTGCTCCGGAAATGAGCACTACCGTTATTTTCAGTCAAAGTCAAAGTCGGAAACTAAAAAAGTATATATTTTTTTTAAATCCCAAACAAAAGGCACCAGTACACCACTGGTCCTACCTATGTGCCAAGTTTAGTTAAGATATCTCTCATGACTGTTTAGTTCTGCTCTGGAAAAGAAAGTTGACGGATGGACGGACAGCACCCATTCCTATACCCCCTTCCACTTCGTGGGGGGGTATAATAATATATTTCCGAAAACATTACGTACAGTCTGGCTGATGATGAAAATGTCTTAACATGGGAGCGAAGTGGTCCAGGGTTTAGACGCATAGACGCTGACCACGGTGGGATACTGAGAGACCAAGACTAGACCAAGATTTGAACACTCGCTCACACGATACCGACACCCAAAACGACCAGGACTCTGCACATCGATATCTGTGCCTTATCTGACTGAATAACATTGGTTTCATGACCTGCGAGCACTACTCAATTTGAACTTTAATTTCGACATATGAAGTGGTGTACATGGTTGAAATGGACCATATTGCTGTTGCAGACTCACTTCTTTTATGTGAAATTTCTCCCTTTTGGACTGCCTCTGAGTTTCAAAGCGAGTAAAGACGTTTTTGAATTCTTCCCCATCTCTGTCCACAGGGACGCAGTCCGTGACCCCTTGCTGCTGAAGCGACCAGTTGAGTGGAATGTCATCATACATCACGGAGACTGAAGAGATAAAATGTTCTAATGCATTCAATCATACACGTGGGGATCCAGGTTAGCATACATGTAGGTGCTCCAGAGCTCTGGTCCTTGTCATATGAGGCGAGTGAGTGAGTGAGTGAGTTGGGTTAAACGCCGCTTTTAACAGTATTCAGTATGTTAGGTTTCTTGCACAGCTGCACAATGGACTGCGGGTCAGACGACAGGGCCAACTGTGCCACGCCGTGATATAACCGGAATACTGTTAAAAGCGGCGTGAAACCCAACTCACTCACTCACCTCTTTAAGTTCTGCTCCTGAGGTGGTTTTCCTGAAAAATCTAGAAACATGATCGGGGGGAACCCACAATCATAGGTCTTTGGCGTGCCCAAGGGACACAACTCTGCATAGCGTATCGCGGCGCCTTAGCCGACTGGGCCACCCGTGCCCCCGACTAGATGAGACCAGATGGACTGGGTCTGAGAGTGGCAGTCATCGTACCACGACAACGTGAGGAGTTCTTTCAGTCAATTTCAGACTCGAATATCTTCCGAACTGAAGGCAAAGCAGTGATGAAAATGACACGAATGGATCACTCGATATCAGTTATGACACCAGATGTTCGCAAAAAGGAAGGTCATTTCTTGCTCTTCTGGTACCACCCGTCTCTCACACAAATGTAGTTGTGAAAGATGTGCCAGTGAGTGAGTGAGTGAGTGAGTGAGTTGGGTTTAACGCCGCTTTTAACAGTATTCCAGTTATATCACGGCGTGTCAGCTTAATGTGGGAGAAAAGCCCGAAGTGACGCAGGTCTCAGACGTTTACCACTTCGGTGAAACCCACGAGCACGGGAATGGTGCTGAAAAATCTAGAAACATGATCGGGGGGAACCCACAATCATAGGTCTTTGGCTTGCCCAAGGGACACAACTCTGCACAGCGATTCGCGGCGCCTTAGACGACTGGGCCACCCGTGCCCCCAAAATATGTGCCAGTAAATAAGGAGGTGTGAGAACTCCATATAAAGGTCGTAGCATGGAGTGAGTGAGTGAGTTTGGTTTTACGCCACTGTTAGCAATATTCCAGCAATATCACGGCGTGGGACACCAGAAATGGGCTTCACACATAGTACCAATGTCGGGAATCGAACCCGGGTCTTCGGCGTGACGAGCGAACGCTTTAACCACTATGCTACCCGACCGCCCCTCGTAGCATGGAATAGCCTCGCAACATCGCAGAGTGAGGCGTTAAAACAACAACAACAACACATACACAGTGTAAAGAAACGAGTCTGGACTGTACAATCAGCCATTAACACATCATGAACATCGATCCATGCACTTGGGAAACGATGACATGTAGTTAACCAAGTTATCCGACCCACTTAGTCGTCTTTTACGACAAGCTGGAGTACCAGGGATTATATTTTATAGTGGAAATGCAACGAAAGAACAGATAGCTTGACACAGAGTTTCATACAAGGAGGCATTTATAACAGGAGCCTACTTTTGTACCGCTTCTTATACAGCTGTGTACATAACGGCCAAAAATAATTATCACCAAACTCACCTGTTCTCTGTAATTGTATCTCTCGTTTAACTGGATGCTGGCATATCGAAACCTTCCCTTCTTTGATCTTCAGCCTGTAGAGCCTATCGGACTGATCCGTAAACAATGTGTATCTTTTGTTGTGTTGATAAGCATCCTCAACATAGCCACTGATTGAGTCCAGATCGAGATTGTGGTCATCCTTCGCCGAACTCCATCTAGCGCTGTGACATGTTCTCAGAAACCTCTTGATGTCAACCTTCGCCTTGGCTACGTCTACGTCCATGCCAAACAGTATCAGCTTGCTTCCGATCACCTTCAAGCCCACAGTGTGATTCCTTGCAAGATGTTGAAGATCGTCAATCTCAAACATTGAATGCCAAATAAGCAACTCGTGAACATGTCCACCACCAATAAGCAAGCATTATAACCACGTTAATCATTAAAATATTTTGTATTTAGAAACATGTGGATGACAGTTGAGTAAAGGAACTCACCCTCTCTTTGGACATTGCAGAAAACAGCCTGTCGTCTTCAACCACCTCACTGCGTATGTTTGCATCGACAAAGCTTCGGATTTGTCCAGCAAGATCCTGCACCTTTGACGTTTCAGTAGATGATACGTAAAGATCATATACTTGCTTTTGCCCCGTGGCTGTTATAAACAAATATGAGGATTGTTTGTCAAGGGTGTCAATGTTCACATTCAGCTGTCACAGAACCCGACCACTCGATTCATACTCTTACGACTGAACGATAGTCCCGGCTGATGTGCCATTTGTTCTTTGGGTCTGTTTAGTTTTGAAGTGTACATTGTACCGAGACCTGCCATTTCCTTGAACTGACACATTACAAAATCTATATATTTACATCATATCACCTTTCACCTTTAGACCGCCTCCGTGGTCAAGTGGTTGAGCGTCCGCCCGTAGAGCGGAAGGTCCGGGGTTCGATCCCCGGCCCCGTCATACCAAAAGACGTTAAAAGATGGTACTTGTTGTTACCCTGTCTGGCGCTCGGCATTAAGAGGATAAAACATGGACTGGTCGGCTCGGAGTCAGTATACTGTGTCTGAGTGGGGTATTCATGTTAAACTGCGGCATGGTATCTCAGTGTGCTAGCACTATAAATCGGCATCAGTCCGGACTAGTACAAGCAGCCACACACACACATGTACATGCACGTCGCTATATAAGTGCAATAATCTTGGACGCGACGTTAAACCCCATTTCACCTCACCTCACCACCTTTCATCTTAAGGCGGGAATACAAAAATCAACGACCCGGTACAGGCTCGTGCTTTTGGAAATTTTTGCGACATCGGGTGACATGATTGTGTGCCAATATCATCCGACATGACACGTTCTTTATAATAGTAATCACTGGTTTGTATGGCCCAGGCTCGAATATGTTATAGCAAGAGTATTCTTGACTGTAGTCAATCAAAAGAGTGAGTGAGTGAGTGAGTATGGTTTTACGCCGTGTTTAGCAATATTCCAGCATTATCACGGTGGGGACACCAGAAATCGGCTTTACACATTGTACCCATGTGAGAAATTGAACCCTGGCATCAATAAAAAAAATACAGAAAACATATATAACTGAAATAAATAACCACTATTTCTTCCTTTGATTATTTTAAGGAATTAATGAATTTATATTAATTGAACGATGAAAAAGGTCTTACCCTCGAGACGTTTATTGTGTCTCTCCTGAATGTCCTGCAACGTGGTGACGATTCGATCAAAATCTTCGTCACGAAGCACTATCAGCCTGATATCGTTGATGCGATCTTTCTTGAAGTGAACGGCAGCTCGGTATTGTTCTATGGCATCATACAAGAGTTCCGCCAGTTGTTCGGGGGAAAGACGCTCAGAACCTGATCAAAACGAACGTAAATATATTGAGTAACTGTTAGCCAGGGAAGCATCTTCTTTATGGGATCACTGGGTGTTAAAGGCAAATAGTGATGAAAATTATGTGAATTAACCATTGAAAACCAGAATGGGTAAGCATGTCCTGTTCTAGAGATACCGGTATTCCAGTTGGTACCACTTTTAGTGAAACCCGCGACGATTCGGGGTAGAATTGGTCTTCAGCAACCCATGCTTGCCGTAAAACGCGACTATGCTTGTCGTGATCAAGTGATTGACATCATGAGCATTGATCATCGCAATTAAGATTCGATGACATGCATCAACCAAGTCATCAAGTCTGACAACCTGATCCCTTTAGTCACCTGACTCATGAAGTAGGTCTTCAGCAACCCATGCTTGCTGTAACCCGTGACTATCCGGGGTAGAATAGGTCTTCAGCAATCCATGCTTGCCGTAACCCGTGACGATCAGGGGTAGAATAGGTCTTCAGCAACCCATGCTTGCCGTAACCCGTGACAATCCGGGGTAGAATAGGTCTTCAGCAACCCATGCTTGCCGTTACCCGTGACGATCCGGGGTAGAATAGGTCTTCAGCAACCCATGCTTGCCGTAACCCGTGACGATCTGGGGTAGAATAGGTCTTCAGCAACCCATGCTTGCCGTAACCCGTGATGATCCGGGGTAGAATAGGTCTTCAGCAACCCATGCTTGCCGTTACCCGTGACGATCCGGGGTAGAATAGGTCTTCAGCAACCCATGCTTGCTGTAACCCGTGACGATCCGGGGTAGAATAGGTCTTCAGCAACCCATGCTTGCCGTTACCCATGACGATCCGGGGTAGAATAGGTCTTCGGCAACACATGCTTGTCGTAAGAGGCAACTAACGGGATCGGGTGGTCATACTCGCTGACTTGTTTGATACATGTCATCGTATCCCAATTACGTAAATCGATCCTCATGATGTCAATCACTAGACAGTCTGGTCCAGACTCGATTATGTACAGACCGCTGGAATATTGCTGAGTGCGGCGTTAAACAACAAACAAACAAACAAACACTTCCGATCGGATAGAAACAAGATTAATCAGATTAACGATCATTGCCATATAGGAATGTCTATTGAATATGAATCGAAGTACATTACAATTGAGGACCTAATCGCTGTCCAGAACACCCGTGTTTTGCTGTATATTAGTCTTTCTTTTATTATTTGTTGTGTAACGCCGAACTCAGAGATATCCCAGCTGTATGACGTCGGTGTGTAAATGCTCGAGCCTGGGCCAGGCAATCGAGTGATTGACATTATGAGCATCGATCCACGCAACTGGGATACGAAGCCTGTGCAGCCGATCCCGTAATTCGTCTCTTGCGAAAAGCAAATGTTTGCTAGGATCTTTTTTCGTACCGCTGAACATACTTGCAAACTTTTCATGCGACAATGAAATGGGTCCGTCATCACCTCAGTATTGTTCAATCACAATCGGAACACCTTCAAAGCAAACCTTTTTGCAGGGAAGTATGAAAATGAAATTATCGTTACAAATATACAAAATATTTCACATACCAACGCCAAGACAAGGAAGGGCCACAGAAACTTGTTTGAACTTTTCCCCAGATTCTTTGAGGAATGAAAGTATCGCTGCCAGCCAATCTGTTCCGTTCTTCCCTTTAAACACGCTGGCGCAAAGATGTACTAGACAAGTCCAAGGTCTGCACGACTTGCAAAACGATAATCCAGACTTTTGCAGAGCTGGAACTATCAAACAGGAAAGTATGCTAAAGTGCAAGAATAGTTTATGTATATAAACATTTGGGACAACATTATTCCTTGACAGATATATTGGTTGGTTGGTTGGTTGTTTAACGCCGCCTTCTAAGTCTTATAATCATTTCAAAATTAAAACGTGAATGTTGCATGTTAAGTGTGTTCCTGGTTTGTTCTATCTGTTTATCCTCTTATCCCCTTATGCATAAGTTAATCATGCACATAATCTTTATTGGTTGGTTGGTTGGTTTGTTGTTTAACGCCGCACTCAGCAATATTCCAGCTAAATGACGGCGGTCGGTACATAATCGAGTCTGGACCAGTGATCGATATCATAAGCATCGATCCCCGCAAATGGGATCGATGACATGCATCAAACAAGTCAGCGAGCCTGACCACACGATCCCTCTTACGATCGCCTCTTATGACAAGCATAGTCTCCTTTTACGGAGAGTATTGGTTGCTGAAGACCTATTCTACCCTGGATCTTCACGCGTCGGTTTCAGATAATTCAACACAGCCGCTCTTTATAAAGTTAATCTTGAATGTACTTTACTTTAAACTTCAGCATGAAACGTTGTGAACAGATATCTCCAAAAACATATGAAACTCACGATTTTTTCTGAAATCCTTCTTGAATGGCTCTCCAAAGCGTTCTACCAGTGCTGTTGAAAGGGTTTCTGAAACATAAAAGGTCAGCTGACATATAACTGACATTCGGGACATCTGGGTGATGTCATCTTCAATTATAGGCAAATTTTACAATGCGCCTGATGACGACATATTTCCATTGACCCCTTTGCAGACAATAAACCAATGGAACAATTGGACAAACTAGCCAATCAGCAAGAAGCACAAGAAACAATGCTCAGAGAGAATAATTTCCTGATGTGGATTAGATGGTTATCTGTGTGTCCTAGGTTATTGTATGCTATCATGCCTCTACCGTGTGGACTGTCGCTCATGCTGTCAACCATTAGGCTGCTTCACCGAGACTTGAATTATTTACAGGCCACGGTGATGTAGCTTGAATGTTACTGACTGCGGCGCTAAACAACATCCACTGACTAGGGATTTACTGACAGCTTGTGATTGACGATAAATATGCGTATAATAAACATTCTGGTACGATCATACATAAAAGGATCGGCTGGTCACACTCAATGACGGATTATGTGTGACGTGCCCTAATAGCGTGGGTCGTTGTTCATGATTTCGGTCAGTGCTTTGGCTGGTCCAGGTTCTATTCTGCACATGCTGCAGTGATGTCATCGATATATGCAGACCGCGGAGGAAACTCAACGAAACAGAACTAAGACACACAATCACGCACCTTTCGATTCTCTTTCAATCAGTATAGGTGCTGGGGACCAAATCTAATTGTTAAAAGATCAAATTCTATATACTCCCAAAGACACTAAACTGTTTTGTGACACTGTATCAGTAAAGAGAATATGTAGACGACTTAGACGACAGTATACTACTTTCCATCCGGGGAATTATCATCTACAAGTTTCAAATTTTGGAGATCATACTGTTAATCTTCAAATGAATGCGTCTCCAAATGAATGCGACTGCTGGTCCCTATCCCAAAATGCGTCTCAATATGAATGCGACTCCCTCAATCAAATGGCATTGCTTATTAGCGCTGAATTGAGAACTTCCGCAATGGTGTTTCCCCACCCAAAAAACAGATTTATGTGTTTATTCCTTTGACTACCGTTAAGGCATGGACAAGACAAAGGCTGAAATCGGGTTTGTAAGGATAAGTGTGATGAAGCCTATCCATGCGCGCTGGGTCGTGTATACAGAACAGTATATAGCATGTAGAGTACATGTACCTTACCAGTCAGTGAGAAGTCTTCTGATATACTGTTGACTATGACGTCGGTCTGTTCTTCCAAAATATCCCCTTTTCTGACTGTCAGTCTGATGTCCTCGATGTGAAACGCTGCAACAAAGGCCCATCACGACTTGGAAGATGCTCAAACAAAACTTATTAAACACGAATAATGAATGTGTGATCTTAGTATTAAACACAGTTCATTTCGAAATGCTTTACTTGTTTCGTAGATTCGATCAGAGATGATTACTTTCTCAATTCTGTTTGATATGACACGTTATGATGTAATACATACCTTCCCGTCTTGCTTGGAATGCCTGGAAGGGATATAAAGGAATGACGTCACAAACCAATACACAAAATATTATTCCGACTCATGTTTATATGAACAACATATCTGGGTTTGCAGCTGTAGCTGAACAAATAAACTACTCAAAAGAAGTTAAGGATCACCTGATTCTTACAAATTACAATAGTTAATATATCATGCCATGACAGATTAACATTACCAATATGAAAGAATCGGGTGATCCTTAACTTCTTTTGGGTAGTATATCTAATGTCAAGACAAAGTCCCGAAACAATTGCCGGTGTCTTAAGAGAATCCCAGGCCATGACGTTTCATAATTTGTGGATGGTATGTACTATAGTGAGCATGGACTATATACACACAAGACTTTGCATGTCATTCATATACACAACCACGAATAAGTACAAAATATACAAAAACAATCGTGCATGTGAATTAAGTTATACAAGAGCCAGCATGTACAGTATGTGAACTAGTTTGTACTCTAAATAAGTGCAAAGTTCAACCAAGGGTCCAACCAAATCTTTTTCCTGGGGCGGGCCTGGGATTTTATCTAAAACAATAAATTGTCTGCGAAAGTTCTTGAAAAAAATTATTATGCTTCAGACTGTCTGCCACAAAAAATGACATTGTTGCAAAGTGTTTTTCTAAAACATAAAACCAGGTTTATAGTTTTAAGCAAATAAATATTTGATTTTGTCGCAGTAGCTGAAAACTATCTAATCTCGATACAAAATCCCAGACCTCTCCCAGAACATCAAATGGTCAATCTGTATTAGGACTGTGGTGTACCTTCTGTACATCCGGGTTGTCGGGGTGTAGTATCACATATACATCAACCTTCTGTCTTTGTATAAACTGCTTCACCGTGTCCATCATCAAGTCTGCCACAAGGTCACGTGGATACCCGAGTTTGCCGCAGCCCAAAGCAGGGAGTGCAACAGACGTTGGAAGTGGTTCAATCCTTGATATTTTTTCGAGGCATTCACTGAGTATCTATTGGTACATCTGAAATGTGAACAAACAATGCGAAAAAAGGTAAGTATCTTACTCGCATTAGATTTTATCAGGTGAACAATTCACTTGCCTGTGCAGGATACACTCACCTGTTCGTGAACAAATGATATCATCACTATTTGAAAGTGATTCATAAACAGTCGGAATCGTACAATTTATTTGTTCTCTTTCAGTACATATTTATTTAAAGGTTTCTCGCGAACTGCGTATTTCAAGATTTACACTTACGGATCCAAATGTATAATGGCTATTACAGTAACAATACTTCCACTGCTTGGTGACCCGGCGCTGATGTTTCTTGGATAATATTCTTAGCAGAAATGAGGGCACGGGTGGCCCTGTCGTCTAAGGCGCCGAGATTCGCTGTGCAGAGTTGCGTCCCAGAAACCTATGATTGTGGGTTTCCAATCCCGGTTCCCCCCAGTTATGTTTCTAGGTTTGTCAGCAACATACCCGTGCTCGTGGGTTTCACCGAAGTGGTAAACGTCTGAGACTCGCATCAGTTCGGGCTTTCCTCCCACATGAAGCTGTTCCAGCAGCTTCAGACAGAGCCTTTGCCACCACGCCATTACTCAGGTCCAACGTTTTGGAGACTGGACACACTAGCACATCCACCTTAAACTGAAAGAGGTTAGGTGAAATGGGTTTTAAAGTCGCGTTTAAAATTAGTATTACATAGCGACGTGCACAAACGTTTTTCTGTTTGCATGTACTTGTTTGGACTCGTGGCGTCATGGACACTCAGATACCATGCCTCGGGTGACCAATGACCATGACATCCAGTGACCATGACATCCAATGACCATGACATCCAGTGACCATGACATCCAGTTGTCTAGTCCTCCCTATATCCCCATAATGCCAAGCGCAGCAGGGTAACAACAAGTATTTTCATAGACGCCGTCTGGGGATGGAGCCACTGGCATTCCGCTCTCAGGACATACACTCTAACCACTCAACCATACAAGCACTGACAGAAAACAACGTGCCTGTGAGGAATGCTGTGTTCAGGAAGCCCCTTGCTGACAAAACGTTTCTGGACATTTCTGATTAATGCAATTAAATTACTTTTAGCAGAAAATAAGAAAGTGTACAATTGAATTAGAATTTGACCACACAATTTAACCATTATCAAAACGTTACTTGGCTGAAACCGATGGCGGACACACTGCAAACCGATGGTACAAAACAATGTCACTGTGTCAAATACATCACTATCAAATAACAATTTCTTGTTTGTTTCATTCGTAACCATCAACAACAGTTGGTTTATACTCTCTTCCCCGACAGTTTACGTTTATCATACAAGACATTCGAATGGATATGGTGGTCAGGCTAATACCAATCACTGGATTGAGTCTTATAGCTGACACATCCAACCCAAACTATATCAGCCACTTTCTTTCATCACATGACTTTCAGTTGTAGACACAGAAGTTACCTCTAAAGCCTCAAGCGTGCCCTGCTTAATGATGATCCGCCCCTGTTCTGAAAAACAGAAACGCCATGTGAAGAAAATACAACAATTTCTGAAGCATCTTCTACTGAAGAGACATATAAGGTTTACTCTTTTCTTGAAAATTCAAGATAACATTTTGAAGTTAGTATCTTGAATACATATAAATATTTTAAACATGTATCCTGAATTTTCGACAAATTACCTTGAATTTCAGCATAGTGCCTTGAATTAAACGCCAACGTTTTACGTTTTTTTTTAGAGAAAGAACAAAATACCATGTATATGGTCCTAATGGCGTCCATAGACGTGAGAGACATTGTCACTTTCATATAAATATAACTGATGATTTGTATGGAGTAGACAAGCTGATAAACACATTTCATGACGATTGTTCCAATTCCCTTGAAGCCATCACTAGTCGTAGATAGCGACCTAATGGACCATGTGGTCAGGCTTGTACCCCTATGGCGTGGATCGTTGCCACTGAATTATCTGGTTCAAACTCAATTATTTACAAGCTGCCGTGATGTACTAGTTCATGTGGGGCGTCAAACAATAAACAAACAATACAAAAGGTAGATCATTTTACCTTCGTTGACATGACATGGCGCCACTTTGATGTTTTTTCCATGTGCAGTTTCCTCCAAAAATGCTTGAAATTGATCGGACTTTGCAATATTTTCGATGCCAGGTTTCCGGATTTCAAGCCTTTCGGTGTACACTGACTTCTCTTGATGGGTGAGGGGATCATCCTGACTTGCAGCACCGCCAACACCATTGACCTAGAGAAGAAGCCACACAGAATATGGTAAAGTTTTGTAATGGATTAGGTGAGGTTCGTTGGATGTCAGGGTGGTTGCTGAAATTTGGGTATTAGGTGAGTGAGTGAGTGAGTTGGATTTTACGCCGCTTTTAGCAATATTCCAGCAATATCACGGCTGGGGACACCAGAAATGGGCTTCACACATTGTACCAATGTCGGGAATCGAACCCCGGTCTTCGGCGTGACGAGCGAACGCTTTAACCACTAGGTAATCCGACCGCCCCTGGGTATTAGGGATTGGATAAGTGGAGGGTTTCCACAGTTAGAAAATAAATATAGTTACTCGCTCATTTACTTTTTGATATTACAACACTGGGGTGGGGTGGGGTGGGGGTGTGGGGGCGTCCCAAGTAGCTTATGATGGTCATTTAAGACTACTCAATAGCTGGAGTTGATTTATTGGTTAATTTCTTGTCATAGTTGGTCATAATATCAATCACTGGTTTGTCTGAATCAGACTTTACAACTTACCGGCCGTCGTGATTTAACTGAAATATTACCGCGTGAGGATAAAAAAACAAATAAATATGTAAAATAGATAAATGAATAGTTTGTTTTGTTACCTGATCCTCATCTGAGTCGTTAAATCCAACTGCACAAAACAAATATTGAGTTATTTTTCATTTAAAAAAGAAAAACAACTTCATTCCCTACATATGTTAATTAATATTTGCATCTTCCAAATGTTCATACATAACAAAGCACATATTAAAACACATTCGCCACTAGACCTAACACATCTTCTGAGTGAGTATGATTTTAGGGCGCTCTTATATCTGTTCCAGTAACAACATCAAGGAGAGGGGCACCAAGATGAAGCTTCCCGTATTGTACTCAGGAGGGAGTAGATGCCAGACTTCAAAGTGACGAGCGAACGCTTCAACCACTAGGCTTCCCAACGGCCCTTTTTTGTCCAGTTGCAGATTCCAACCACTTGCTAATTTAGACAATTGGTGGGTACCTCGGGTGCATATTCAGCGGTAGATAATATCCCAGTCTTCTGTTCTACTCTTTAGCGCCGGGGAAACAATCAAGATGAAACACCTGGCTGGTTGTATCAAGCTATCAACTGCCGGTTTCCTTGGACCAGACTAGCTAGAATACGACTGACTACAGTGTAATACATATACACAATAAGTGTTGACACGATCCAAACGATTGTCTTCAGAATCTATTATCTTATTTATGATATTAATAGAAATGTATTTATTTATAATGCGTAGGAGTAATCCTATGTTTATGAATCACTATCAAATAATGACAAATAACAAAAGAATTAATTAATAAGGTACCAACTATTAGATTGTGTAATGGTTGAAGGCTTGTATATTTATCTGTTCAAGAAAACGATAGAGAAAAACTAATGTCCACTCAGGTCATATTGGATGGCTACTGTAGATAAAAGTGTTCTTTACCTGATTTCAAACAAATGAATTATATGTCTTGAAATCTTCACACACACACACAGAGACTACACACACACTAGAAACACACTACACATTACACGCACATATACACTTTACACACACACACACACAGAGAGACTACACACACACTAGAAACACACTACACATTACATGCACATATACACTTTACACACACACACACACAGACTACACACACACTAGAAACACACTACACATTACATGCACATAAACACTTTACACACACACACACACAGACTACACACACACTAGAAACACACTACACATTACATGCACATATACACTTTACACACACACACACACAGACTACACACACACTAGAAACACACTACACATACACACACACAGACTACACACACACTAGAAACACACTACACATTACACGCACATATACACTTTACACACACAAATACACACACAGACTACACACACACTAGAAACACACTACACATTACATGCACATATACACTTTACACACACACACAGACTACACACACTAGAAACACACTACACATTACACGCACATATACACTTTACAGACACACACACACACACACACACAGACTACACACACACTACACATTACATGCACATGTACACTTTACACACACACACACACAGACTACACATACACTAGAAACACACTACACATTACACGCACATATACACTTTACACACACACACACACACACAGACTACACACACACTAGAAACACACTACACATTACACGCACATATACACTTTACACACACACACACACACAGACTACACACACACTAGAAACACACTACACATTACACGCACATATACACTTTACACACACACACACACACAGACTACACACACACTAGAAACACACTACACATTACACGTACATATACACTTTACACACACACACACACACACAGACTACACACACACTAGAAACACACTACACATTACACGCACATATACACTTTACACACACACACACACACACAGACTACACACACACTAGAAACACACTACACATTACACGTACATATACACTTTACACACACACACACACACACACACACACACACACACAGACTACACACACACTAGAAACACACTACACATTACATGCACATATACACTTTACACACATACACACACGGAGAATTCCAAACAAACTCACTATCAGCTTTGCGTCGGCGAAGAACACCTGGTTCCTCGTTTAGCTCATTTATCACAACATCCACGATTTTCTTCACCGAGTCGTATTTCTCTGAATGTACTGAGAGGCGAGTACGCCTTGGATTGTCGTCCACTTCTGTATAATCTCTGAACTCTTGAAGTCTGTGACGGAGGTGTACACCAAGAGAGGCATCAACCTCTTCACTGACGATGGAAGCGTCTATGACATCCCGAACTCGGCAAAACTCGTCATGCTTGCAACGGATCCTGATCCTGTCTTCGTAGACATCGTACACTGCATTAAGGGCATTTCGTAACAGTCTGCTTCCAATATATCTACGAGTTACATCCTTCTTGAAAAGTTTGATGCGCGATGGAACAGTCACAGTAACGTCACGTAACTCAGTTTCCCCCAAGATGGTAGCAATGAATGTTTTGGCATCGTACACGGAATTCCTTGACCCCTCTACTCGGACCTGAGTCTCGTCGATGTTAATTGTAATGTCGGGATGGATGTCTTTCAGTTGGCCTTCAATGCTGACTCTTTTCAGAAAGCTGGTTTCAGTGCAATCCGAGAAAGGAAACGTCTCAACCGCCTCGTTGTCCATAGTTGTTGGTGTATGTCTGTGCTACAAGTGAAAACATTGAATGACTGCAAGGGCTGTTTGCTTGTGTGCTAATCTATTTAAATAATCACTGTTTTTTTCTGTCAGCATCGAACAGGTCATGGCTGTCTTCACCAAACAGATAAGCCAACATCAAGTACGATTGTCCTCACACATGAAGCAGTGGCTGACATATATCTGTCATACTGTTGTAAGCAGTGTTAAACTCAGCTCACTACAGGTTGTTGGCTAAGAAACCCCTCCCACAAGAACAAGAAGAAAATAATAAGACAATATAGTGACATTGAAAACTTCCTACATGGATGTGATAACGCATCTTTTCGAAACAAATTGTCTGGTACTGCTACGTATTTATTTAGAAACACAAAAATACCACTTCTATATCTTCTACATCTATCCTTCCTTTCTCCTACCTACATTCATATCTATCTTACCTTCTCTCATTGCATAGTATCGCATACTTATATTGTAAATGTTTGAAAATGTCCCACAACCCCTGGCCACGTGGGGATGTAGGGTCTTTATGTAAATCGTGGATATGTTCGGTAATAATTTTTTTAAATTTTTCTGACAGTTTTCACTGTGGGGTAATCTAGGTCATACTGATTCAAGATGATAACACACACCTAGGGTAAAGTATCTTTATGTAACATTTTAGAAGCTGTAGCATCAAGAAAGGATGAACTTGAGGATTCACAGAACACCACAGATCAACCGACACACGAGACACCCGCAATCAGAGCATTCTAAGCATCATGTCAGTCATCGGATCCAGTGGATCTGCACCATTGACCTGGATCCCAACCTCAACAACACAACACCATCACAAACCTAAGTCCAATGTGCCCGGTAATTATTTGACAAACAGAAACCTAGAGTATAATGTTGAGAAAATATATCCTGGACCTCAGGAAAGTCTGGACTCCACGTCCTGTTAACCAAAAATACATTGACAAAAAGGAGAGGTTTTAAACCAACAGAAGCTGAAACCAAGGCTGAAATTTCATCTGTTGAAATGACAACCAAATGGCCAAATCAGTTCATATTAAATGTAAATAAGGTCCCCAAACCTGAAATGCCACTTGATTTAACGTTAATTATTTAAACAGTAAATATAACATGCATACTTACAAGAATCGTGTAAACAGGCGCTATCGCTCACGACAGCCCTGGTGACATCCCTTGCAGTACAGCTCGCATCACCTCGTAATGCTGATCTGTCCTCAATGTTAACTTTATATCATATCACCAGGAAGTTGGGAAGTGTTATCGCATGACGTAAAACGTCACGTGCTAATATCAGTGTGTATGTTGATATAGATTCAAACGTATATAGATGAGTGAGTGAGTGAGTGTTTTCAGCAGGTGTGGCAGATGTAATTGGAATGAACATGTGTTTTTGTCAAGATGATTAAAAAACATCTCGGAGTCTGATTTACAACGTTTACTACTCCATGAGTGAGTGAGTTGGTGAGTGAGTGAGTGAGTTGGGTTTAGCGCCGCTTTTAACAGTATTCCATTTATATCACGGCGTGTCAGCTTAATTTGGGAGGAAAGCCCGAAGTGATGCAGGTCTCAGACGTTTACCATTTCGGTGAAACCCACGAGCACGGCTATGGTGCTGACAAACCTAGAAACATAATTGGGGCGAACCGGGATTCGAACCCACAATCATAGGTTTCTGGCGTGCCCAAGGGACGCAACTCTGCACAGAGAATCGCGGCGCCTTAGACGACTCGACCGTGCCCCCAGTTTATACATTAACCTTACAGGCTGTGCTGAGTATTACGATGAACTCATATCGCTTGAGTAACTGTTGACTGCTCCTATACAGCAAAATGATTAAGTTGTAAATATTCCTATGGAAGCCTTTTAGGGCCATTTTTAAAAAAAAAAAAATTTCGATACTATCTTGAAATTTCAAGATACTAAGTTGAAATTTTAAGATAATAAGTTTTTAACATCCTTAGATGTAAAAATACGTTTGAAGTGAATAATCTTCAAATTTCAACTTAGTATCTTGAAATTTCAAGATAGTATCTTGAAATTTCAACTTAGTATCTTGAAATTTCAACTTAGTATCTTGAAATTTCATGATAGTATCTTGAAATTTCATGATAGTATCGAAAAAATTAAGAAAACAAATGGCCCTAAAAGGCTTCCATATATTCCAGTACGTTGACACATAAATTTGTTTTCTTCTCTATCACAAATATTATAGGAAGCTCTCAATTCACGAACGGCTTGCAGTGAGTAGATTTTGATTGGAGAAAAGTAATTTCGTTGTGACTTCTTGTCATTTTAGGTCTTCCAGTCCTATGGCATGGCTCGATGACTATCTTTAATCATAGGGCGGTCGGCCTCGTGGTTAAAGCGTTCGCTCATCACCCCGAAGAGGCGGGTTCGATTCTCCACATGGCGCAAGTGTCAAGCTCGTTTCGGATGTCCCCAGAGGGAATAATACTGGCATATTAAGACCAGCATAAGAGCGGCATAACACCAGATTCACCCATCCATTGACTGATACAGTCATAGTATCGTCTCTTTCATCGCGTGTAGGTTTTATTCAGTATTTTATGATTAAGTACTTTAACTATCTTCAAAATAGCAACACGAAAAGGGGAAATTATAAAGGCTTATCGATCCGTACATATCTAATTTTATCATATAATGGGTAGGTTTCTCGGCAAGATAAAGCCAATAGTCTACAGCAGATAAAAACGATATCCGTTGGGGTCATATGCGGATAGAGATGCAAATATCAAAGGTCAAGTAGGACTACTTTCATTGTTTATACACAAACATGGCGTCGCCCTCGTCATTCGGCAATCGAGTCAGAATTAACCATCGGGAATCTGGATAAACTACAGTGATAATTGCTATCATTATCATAAGAACAGTCTAATATATTGAAAATCATTGTCTAACTGTGACGTAGCTAAGGCATTTTATAAGTTTTGGCAACTTTGGCGATATAAATTTCGAAACAATTTTGCGTGGGCACGAGGCCTTGCCAAGCGGGATCAATAGCCACATCTGTGCTTGTAGACCTCTGTGGCTTGAAACCTTCTCCACAAATTAAAATAGTTGTATTTGGCCGAAATATGTTTGAATTGTTACCTTGTTTCGTTTTCTCGCTGTGTGTACATCTGACTACACTAAAGTCTTCTTAACGTTATGACAGGACAGACCGACGGTCAACAACGTCTGACCATGGCCGTGACGTCTCATAAGACTAGGGTTAGAGTAGCTTCCCTTTGACAAAGGGCAGTTACTCTAGCGGACAGACCGATGGATTGCCGCGAAATGTAAGTAAAAACAATTGTTGTTTTGCATATATGTTGCTTCGCCACTGTATAAGAAACAGATCTCAGTTGGAACTATATTGGCTACTGTCACTGTCCGACTGACACATTACTTACCCTGTGACGTAAAAAATATTAATGCGCGCATTCCAGGAAAACTCGCAATGTTTAGGTAATGTTTGTGAGAGAGGGAAAGCGATTTTGAAGCACAGAATTAAAGAATGACATTATATGATAAAGAGGTTATCACGCTTGTGTGTTTGGGGATGGTAAATATCCTATATTAGGAATAAACACTATGTATTTAGCTCGCCAATACAATGTTTATTCCTAATGCAGGATATTTACCATCCCCAAACACACTCGCGTGATAACCTCTATCTATCTGTACATATAAACAAAGATACCTCACACACAATATTCATCAAATGTTTTTCCAATTTGTTTTTGAACAAAACCTGCGACGTTTTTAGGCATTCGTCTGTATTTTACATGAAGTGAAATTAAGTTTCACAAACATATATTTACATTCATGAACATACATTAAATGCCTTTTAAACTGTATAACCAGATTGTTCCAAAAGAAAAGGAAACGGAGAATGAGTGAGTGAGTTTAGTTTAACGCCGCTTTGAGCAGTATTCCAGTTGTATCACGTCGTGTCGGCTTCATGTGGGAGGAAGGTCTGAAATGATGCTGGTCTTAGACATTTACAATTTTGGTGAAACCGTGTATGTTGCAGACAGACTTCGAAGGGGGGGGGGGGGGGGGGGGGGCGGTAGTCTAAGGCGCCGCGATTCGCTGTGCAGAGTTGCGTTCCTTGGGTACGCCAGGAACCTATGATTATAGGTTGGAATCCCGGTTCGCCCCGATTATGTTTCTAGGTTTGTCAGCACCATACCCGTGTTCGCGGGTTTCACCGAAGTGGTAAACGTCTCAGACCTGCGTCACTTCGGGCTTGCCTCTCACATTAAGCTGACACGCCGCGATATAACTGGAATAGTGTTAAACGCGGCGTTAAACCCAACTCACTCACTCACTTGATTCGTGAGATTACCACGAAGTGAGTCTGGTGAAACGCGCAGTAGTGTTCGTGATGCTGACAAACACATGACGTCAACGTCAGAGAATAGTCTTCATTATCCGCTGAAACAGATTCGGGCGTAGGGCTGATAGCGGTGAAAATTATATAACTAGATACTGAAAATCAGTGATGACACCAGGTGTTCGCGTAAAGGGTAAATATGCCCTGCTCGATCTATAAAAACGCCACTTACACACTTTGTATTGGAGAAACAGGTGTTGTTTGTTGCCTAACGCCGCACAGCGGTTCTCTTGACATACGACGGGGGCCTTCACACATGCGATACTGGACCAGACAATCCAGCGATGGGCCAAGCGATGGACCAGACAATCCAGCGATGGGCCAGACAATCCAGCGATTGACCAGACAATCCAGCCATGGACCAGACAATCCAGCGATGGACCAGCCAATCCAGCGATGGACCAGACAATCCAGCGATGGACCAGACAATCCAGCGATGGACCAGACAATCCAGCGATGGGCCAGACAATCCAGCGAAGGACCAGACAATCCAGCGATGGGCCAGACATTCCAGCGATGGACCAGACAATCCAGCGATGGGCCAGACAATCAAGCGACGGGCCAGACAATCCAGCGATGGACCAGACAATCCAGCGATGGGCCAGACAATCCAGCGATGGGCCAGACAATCCAGTGATGGGCCAGACAATCCAGTGATGGACCAGACAATCCAGCGATGGACCGACAATCCAGCGATGGACCAGACACGATAGCACGCGTATTTATTTTGTTGCAACTAAAAACGATATGTTACTTTTAAAATACTTTCTGCTGTGTACAAGTGCAGAGATTCTGAGAAACATGCTTCAAACCACTAGGTCACCTGTGGCCAACGAAGCTGGAAATTACGCGGAAGATATCATTGCCTGTGCTTGTCCCAGATATTGACTCGATGGGTCCCCATCTCACATAAGGCGTAATTGATTACGTAAACATAAATAAGTGATTACTGTGGAAGTTATTTTCTGTCACACGTCAGCGTTATAAGGACCTCACGCGATAATACCAGGTAAACAGTGGCTCCGAGTCAAACATGTGTTGGGAACAATTCTAGCTTCGTCGATTACTATCGTAATATCTGCCAAAAATGTATTATCACACATTCTTTAAAGATTGTAATAACCGCAACTCTGCATTCTGTAACCCATAATTGTATCATTATTTCAAAATGACAATAATTAAGAAAGGAGTCATTTTCTGGAAATCAGCTTCCGCCGTGATGCGAAAGTCATATCAACTGTTTCAGTCAGAGGCATCTTTTTATGCTTTTAAACCCCCGATCGACCAATCAGAATCTAATATTCTCAAAATCCGTGGTAGAGTACGAGGTAAACAATTGATTCGAGTAAACTATGCGTTGGGAAGCCATACGTGAAACGTTTGCACCATAAATGTATACAACTCAAAATCTGCTAAGGATGTAGTTTCAATCTCATCAAAAACTCATCCAACGAATAAGGATTGAAATATCCAAATACACAATGATGGGGCACCCCTGAAGTACCTCAATTTCGCGATGAACGGGCAAAGGCATGCAGTCATTGGCACGTCAATAGATAGACCAAGGCTCTATTGTATTTTACGGATTAGTCGAGATACTGTCTAGACGTCACAGGTCGTCATGCACGACTGGCGTAGACAAGGAGACAGATTTCAGGGTTCTAACGTAACCAAACGTGACCGCAATGGAGTGGGTTCACTCATGATTTCGGGTAAGGTCAGTAGAGCTGGACGAACCAATCTCCATGTCCTACAACGGGGCACGATTACAGGTATGTGCTACAGCTGCTGGGGTGACATTCTGGATGTGTACGTGAGACCGATGCAATCGGACCGGACTTCATCCTCTTGGAAGATAACGCACCACCTCATCGTGCCAGGATCGTTGGTGCCTACACAGAGAAGGAAACCATTGTCCGCATGAAGTGGCCAGCACGGTCTGCAGATCTCCACCCTGTCGACCACATGTGGAACGAGCTGTAGATCGCCCTCTCACGACGCCCTGTTCTTCTCCAAATCTGCAGAAATTCGGCAATGCTCTTACTGCTCCCTTGTCAACCACCCTGGCACTTATTGGGAGCATGAGACGACGGTGACATACGCGCTACTGAGAGTTAGTTTTGGGGGAGAATGAAGTTATTTTTGTTATTTTTTAAAAGTCGTTTTGGTCAGATACTCTCATTTTGACAAGCGATCTATGATAAGACTACTTTTTCGTTTCTTTTTTGCAGAGTATATATTTTTGCAAACATATACATGTACTCTTCAAAAAAAGAAACTTGACACTGACTTTCAAAATGTAATATAATGCGATTGTTTCAAAAAAGGACACAGAAACCATAATTGAAACACTGTTTGAAGATCAATGTACACAATGTTCAAAACATTAATCGTGTCACCTAGACAGACACACGTACACGATACAGTTAATGTCACAGGGGTACAGAAAATGTCAGTATCGGTTGTGCCCACCACGTGCATCAATCACCGCTTGACACCGACGAACCACAGATGCAATCAAGTTGTCAATAACACGCTGTTGGATGTGCTGCCATCTATGCTGAAGTGCATCAAGAAGCGCCGGGAGTGTTTGGGGCGGTGGATTCCTTCTGCGAACGCGTTGATCAACTCGTCCCACAGATGCTCAATCGGGGACAAATCTGGTGACCGGGCTGGCCAAGATAATATCTGGATGTTGTTGTGCTGTAAGAAGTCCTGACAAACACGTGCAATATGCGGTCGAGCGTTGTCCTGCTGGAACTGTCCGCCAAGAACGTTGACGTGAGGAAGAACGTAAGGCTGTAGGATCAAGTCTCTGTAACGCACACCTGTCAATGCACCTGCCACATGCACGAGAGGCGTCCTACCACCGTGATGAATTCCGGCTCATACCATGACACTCCCGCCGCCAAATGGGACAGCCTGCTGCACACAGTTGGCGGCGTTACGTTCACCCCGACGTCTGTAGACACGTGCGCGCCCATCAGCACGTGTGAGTAGGAAACGGGACTCGTCAGTAAACAGTACATTTCTCCACCTTGCACGTGCCCATCTAACCCTCTGTTGGCACCAAAGCAGACGGTCCGCCAGATGACGTAGGGTCAATACATGACGTCGAAAAGGTCTTCGTTCAAAAAGTCCAGCCTCTCCCAGTCTGTTGCGTACCGTTTGATCTGATATTCTGCGTACCCCAGGGATCTGTGTGGTTGTAGAGGGTCTCGGAGGTGTCGCAGCCGGATGTATCGATCTTGTGCTTGGGTTGTCACCCTTGGTCTTCCTGACCTTGGTCTGTCGTCAACTCTGTTGGTGTTGTTGTATAGGTCCACAGTGCGGAGATTGTCTGTCTGGATACGCCAAAGTGCCTGGCCCTTTCTTGCTGAGTTGAGCTGCATTCAGTCTTGGCATTCTGTCACCGCCTCTACTGCCGTTATATGGAATGTATGAACAGCCGTTGATGTGGATTTTTATACCAATTCAGCAGGGGGGTCTGCATACCTAAATGCAGGATCCTGTTCTGCAGGTTTTTTACAGGCGGTTGCTTTTGGATGAAGCTGTAAAATTGATCCCCAAACGCTACGTTTATGTGCTTTGCATGTGTTTTCGCGAATTATAGACACATCATCTTCCTGTTTGACTTATTTGGTTCTCATTTAATGTAATTATTTTAAATATTTGGAAAAAAAGTGGTTTTAGATCTATGTCAAGTTTCTTTTTTTGAAGAGTATATGTATGTTTGAATCTATGTCAATATACACACTGATATCAACACGTGACGTTTTACGTCATGCGATAACACTTCCCAACTTCCTGGTGATATGATATAAAGGTAACACTGAGGACAGATCAGCATTACGAGGTGATGAGAGCTATACTGCAAGGGATGTCACCAGGGCTGTCGTGAGCGATAGCGCCTGTTTACACGATTCTTGTAAGTATGCATGTTATATTTACTGTTTAAATAATTAACGTTAAATCAAGTGGCATTTTCGGTTTGGGGACTTTATTTACATTTAATATCTTGGTTTCAGCTTCTGTTGGTTTAAAACCTCTCCTTTTTTTCAATGTATTTTTGGTTAACAGGACGTCCAGACTTTCCTGAGGTCCATGTTATATTTTTCAGAATCAGATTTTAGGTTTCTGTCTGTCAAATAATTACCGGGCACACTGGACTTAGTTTTGGCATGTTGCTTAGTGTGCTCTGATTGTGGATGTCTCGTTTGTTGGTTGATCTGTGGTGTTCTGTGAATCCTCAAGTTCATCCTCTCTTGATGCTACAGCTTCTAAAATGTTACATAAAGATACTTTACCCTTCGTGTGTGTTATCATCTTGAATCAGTATGACCTAGACTACCCTAGAGTGAAAACTGTCAGGAATATTTAAAAAAAATTATTACCGAACATAGTCACGATTTACATGAAGACCCTACATCCCCACGTGGCCAGGGGTTGTGGGACATTTTCAAACATTTGAAATGTAAGTAGGCGATACTATGCAATGAGAGAAGGTAAGATAGATATGAATGTAGGTAGGAGAAAGGAAGGATAGATGTAGAAGATATAGAAGTGGTATTTTTGTGTTTCTAAATACGTAGCAGTACCAGACAATTTGTTTCGAAAAGATGCGTTATCATACCCATGAATGAAGTTTTCAATGTCACAATATTGCCTTATTATTTTATTCTTGTTCTTCCGGGAGGGGTTTCTTAGCCCACAACCTGTAGTGAGCTGAGTTTAACACTGCTTAAAACAGTATGACAGATATATGTCAGCCACTGCTTCATGTGTGAGGACAATCGTACATGATGTTGGCTTATCTGTTTGGTGAAGACAGCCATGACCTGTTCGATGCTGACAGGAAAAATACTGCTCTTGCTTTGTTGTCATGTTGGACTTTGCACAATGATATTGCCTGTGTTTATCAGTTGATTGGCGCAGATCCAATTTGAGGGTTGGTTGGTTGGCTTGTTTGTTGTTTAACGCCGCACTCAGCAATATTCCAGCTATATGACGGCGGTCTGTAAATAATCGAGTCTGGACCAGACAATCCAGTGATCGACATCATGAACATCGATCCACACAATTGGGATTGATGGCATGCATCAACCAGGTCAGCGAGCCTGACCACCCGATCCTGTTAGTCGCCTTTTACGACAAGCATAGTCGCCTTTTACGGCTTGCATGGTTTGCTGAAGACCTATTCTACCCCGGATCTTCACGGATCCAATCTGAGGGAGATATATGGATTTCAACGTCTTCATTATTAGGAACACAACGTTTCGGAGTACAGTAAAGTACGGTTATAACACACGAAGGCACCACTAATATTAGCTGGTTATAACAGTAGTTCGTTATAAGCATATGTACAGCAAGTCTACAGCAAATGGCCGGGACCCAAACATAAGTTCGTTCTATTCGTCGGTTCGTTATAAGCGTGTTAGTTATAAACGTGGTCTACTGTGTATCCTTACTCCTTCATCAGGTGAATGAATGCTACGAGTCATTTAACATATATGTGTCCATGTAAGAACAACACAAATAATACGATAAAAGAAGTGGAATAGTCAACAAGGAGTGAGTCGGTGAGTCGGGTTTAACGCCGCTTTTAACAGTATTCCAGTTATATCACGCGTGTCAGCTTAATGTGGGAGGAAAGCCCGAAGTGATGCAGGCCTCAGACGTTTACCGCTTCAGTGAAACCCACGAGCACATGTATGGTGCTGACAAACCTAGAAACATAATCGGGGCGAACCGGGAATCGAACCCACAATCATAGGTTTCTGGCGTGTCCAAGGGACGCAACTCTGCACAGCGGATTAACAGTGCATTTCTTCATCCCCGATTGGCTATAAATCATAAAATAATTTACAAATATATATATTCAGATCGAAAATAAAAACAGATGATGTTTTGAAGGGGTCGCCAGCTTGGGTCTCCAAAACCTGTACCGTTTTAATTTGGCTGACTTGTCTTGTTTCGAGTATTTACAGACAACAGTCATATATCTGCAATATTGCGGATAAAAACCTTTACCGGCACACAAGCAAACAGCCCGTGCAGTCATTCAGTGTTTTCTCTTGTAGCACAGACATTCACCATCAAATATGGACAACGAGGCGGTTGAGACGTTTCCTTTCTCGGATCGCACTGAAATCAGCTTTCTGAAAAGAGTCAGCATTGAAGGCCAACTGAAAGACATCCATCCCGACATTACAATTAACATCGACGAGACTCAGGTAAGAGTCAAGGGGTCAAGGAATTCCGTGTATGATGCCAAAACATTCATTGCTACCATCTTGGAGGAAACTGAGTTACGTGACATTAAAGTGACTGATCCATCGCGCATCAAACTTTTCAAGAAGGATGTAACTCGTAGATATATTGGAAGCAGACTGTTACGAAATGGCCTTAATGCAGTGTACGATGTCTGCGAAGACGGGATCAGGATCCGGTGCAAGCATGCCGAGTTTTGCCGAGTTCGGGATGTCATAGACGCTGCCATCGTCAGTGAAGAGGTTGATGCCTTACATATTGGTGTAACACTCCGTGACAGACTTCAAGAGTTGAGAGATTATACGGAAGTGGACGACAATCCAAGGCGTACTCGCCTCTCAGTACATTTCGAGAAATACAACACGGTGAAGGAAATCGTGGATGTTGTGATAAATGAGCTGAACGAGGAACCAGGTGTTCTTCGCCGACGCAAATCTGATAGTGAGTTTGTTTGGAATTATCCGTGTGTGTATGTGTGTAAAGTGTACATGTGCGTGTATAACACTATCTAATAGTTGGTACCTTATTTGTTAAGTCGTTTGTTTATTTTCATTATTTGATAGTGATTCATTAATTACAGATTAGTGATTACTGCCCAGTCAAAATCGTAAAAAGTTTTTTTTCTTTTAGCAAAGATTTGTATGATTATGGAAAGAGTTCCGTCGTTTGATGTAGGTGAACAATAAACCTGGGTTTTGTTCCAAATATTTGTACATTTGGTACTCTCCTTAATGGTGTCCTGGCTGGTGTCACGTGGTTCTGTATAGTGAGTGAGTGAGTATGGTTTTACGCCGCTTTTAGCAATATTCCAGCAACATCACGGCGGGGGACACCAGAAATGGGCTTCACACATTGTACCCATGTCGGGAATCGAACTTGGGTCTTCGGCGTGACGAGCGAACGCTTTAACCACTAGGCTCCCCGACCGCCCCTGGTTCTGTATACAGAGCACAGGACACGAACCAGGGCACAGGACACTATGGGCGCGAGGAGTGGAAATTTGACCCATGAGTGAGTGAGTTAAAATTTAACATCGCATCGGCATTATTTCAGTCATATAGCGATTGACCCATGAGAGTTTCTTTGGCTTCGGTAATGCCCCAAACTAAAACGCTTGTATACGTCGTGTCTTCATTGACATATGCCCCTGTTCATCCAGCAGCGAATGATTACCCGGCGAAATTACAATGTGACTGTTATCTATCCATAGGCCCAATAGGCAGCTCGGCTTGTATTCTCCCCAGGGAGCTGAGAATGAAGTTCGAGAAGATAACCCATTGATCCATTGTCGCGGATGATAACGTAGTAGCGCTATGACAATGTTGTGTGTGGAATCGAGCGCATTATAAATAGATACATTTCTATTAATATCATAAATAAGATAATAGAGTCTGAAGATAATCGTTTGGATAGTGTCAACACTTAATGTGTGTATGTATTACACTGTAGTCAGTCGTATTCTAGCTAGTCTGGTCCAAGGAAACCGGCAGTTGATAGCTTGATACAACCAGCCAGGTGTTTCATCTTGGTTGTTGCCCGGCTCAGAGTAGAACAGAGGACTGGGATATTATCTACCACTGAATATGCACCCGAGGTACCCACCAATTGTCTAAATTAGCCAGTGGTTGGAATCTGCAACTGGACAAAAAAGGGCCGTTGGGAAGCCTAGTGGTTGAAGCGTTCGCTCGTCACTTTGAAGTCTGGCATCTACTCCCCCCTGAGTACAATACGGGAAGCTTCGTCTTGGTGCCCTTCTCCCTGATGTTGTTACTGGAATATAGATAAAATCGCCCTAAAATCATACTCACTCAGAAGATGTGTTAGATGTAGTGGCAAATGTGTTTTCATATGTGCTGCGTTATGTATGAACATTTGGAAGATGCAAATATGAATTAACATTTATCATCCAAAACTGGCTCCCACAGGAGATATCGCTTGGATGAGATCAAGAGATATCTACACTGTAGATATCGCAGCAATGAAATTACATCACAATGCTTTGCAGACCATTGTGACGTCACTGGTTACCATGACGTCATAATCAAATGACATCACTAATGGCTCTGCTACTGAAGCAGTTTACAGTACTTTTTACACTGAAGACACTGCTAATTACTGTCTACAAATTGAAAAAGTTGAAAGAATGATGTTTAATGATGAATAAAATCTCACCCTTATGACTTTTGATATTAAATATATCAACACTCGTTGATAAAAGTGGCAAAAATCCTCGGCAAGCCTCGGAATTTTTCCACTTTTATCAACTCCTGTTGATATATTTGATATCAAAAGACACTCGGGTGAGATTCTCTATATGTAGGGAATGAAGTTGTTTTTCTTTTTTAAATGAAAAATAACTCAATATTTGTTTTGTGCAGGTGGATTTAGCGACTCAGACGAGGATCAGGTAACAAAACCAACTATTCATAATTTTTTCTTACATATTTATTTGTTGTTTTATCCTCACGCGGTATTATTTCAGCTATATCACGATGGTCTGTAAGTTGTAAAGACTGATTCAGACAAACCAGTGATTGATATTATGACCAACTATGACAAGAAATTAACCAATAAATCAACTCCAGCTATTGAGTAGTCTTTAATGACCACCATAAGCTACTGGGGACGGCCCCCACGTTGTAATATTATAAAACAAATGAGCGAGTAACTATATTTATTTTCTAACTGTATAAAACCATCCACTCATCCAATCCCTAATACCCAGGGGCGGTCGAGTAGCCTAGTGGTTAAAGCGTTCGCTCGTCACGCCGAAGACCCGGGTTCGATTCCAGACATGGGTACAATGTGTGAAGCCCATTTCTGGTGTCCCCAGCAGTGATATTGCTGGAATATTGCTAAGGAGGCGTAAATTCTCACTCACTCACTTACTCACTCACCTAATACCCAAATTTCAGCATCCACCCTTCCAACCAACGAACCTCACCTAATCCATTACAAAACGTAACCATATTCTGTATGGCTTCTTCTCTAGGTCAATGGTGGTGGCGGTGCTGCAAGTCAGGATGATTCCCTCACCCACCAAGAGAAGTCAGTGTACACCGAAAGGCTTGAAATCCGGAAACCTGGCATCGAAAATATTTCAAGGTCCGATGAATTTCAAGCATTTTTGGAAGAAACTGCACATGGGAAAAACATGAAAGTGGCGCCATGTCATGTCAACGAAGGTAAAATGGTCATCCTTTTGTATTGTTTGTTTATTGTTTGACGCCACGCCCCCCCCCCCCCCCCCCCCCCCCCCCCCCCCCACACACACACACACTACTGTGTAGTGTGTTTCTAGTGTGTGTGTAGTCTGTGTGTGTGTGTCTGTAAAGTGTAAATGTGCAGGTAATGTGTAGTCTGTTTCTAGTGTGTGTGTAGTCTGTGTGTGTATGTGTGTGTGTAAAGTGTATATGTGCATGTAATGAGTAGTGTGTTTCTAGTGTGTGTGTAGTCTCTGTGTGTGTGTGTGTAAAGTGTATATGTGCATGTAATGTGTAGTGTGTTTCTAGTGTGTGTGTAGTATCTGTGTGTGTGTGTGTGTGTGTGTGTGTGTGTGTGTGTGTGTGTGTGTGTGTGTGTGTGTGTAAAGTGTATATGTGCGTGTAATGTGTAGTGTGTTTCTAGTGTGTGTGTAGTCTGTGTGTATGTGTGTGTGTGTAAAGTGTATATGTGCGTGTAATGTGTAGTGTGTTTCTAGTGTGTGTGTGTGTGTGTGTGTATGTGTGTGTGTAAAGTGTACATGTGCATGTAATGTGTAGTGTGTGTGTAGTCTGTGTGTGTGTGTGTAAAGTGTATATGTGCATGTAATGTGTAGTGTGTTTCTAGTGTGTGTGTAGTCTGTGTGTGTATGTGTGTGTGTGTAAAGTGTATATGTGCGTGTAATGTGTAGTGTGTTTCTAGTGTGTGTGTGTGTGTGTGTGTATGTGTGTGTGTAAAGTGTACATGTGCATGTAATGTGTAGTGTGTGTGTAGTCTGTGTGTGTGTGTGTAAAGTGTATATGTGCATGTAATGTGTAGTGTGTTTCTAGTGTGTGTGTGTGTGTGTGTGTGTGTATGTGTGTGTGTAAAGTGTACATGTGCATGTAATGTGTAGTGTGTGTGTAGTCTGTGTGTGTGTGTGTAAAGTGTATATGTGCGTGTAATGTGTAGTGTGTTTCTAGTGTGTGTGTAGTCTGTGTGTATGTGTGTGTGTGTAAAGTGTATATGTGCGTGTAATGTGTAGTGTGTTTCTAGTGTGTGTGTGTGTGTGTGTGTGTGTGTGTAAAGTGTATATGTGCGTGTAATGTGTAGTGTGTTTCTAGTGTGTGTGTAGTCTGTGTGTATGTGTGTGTGTGTAAAGTGTATATGTGCGTGTAATGTGTAGTGTGTTTCTAGTGTGTGTGTGTGTGTGTGTGTATGTGTGTGTGTAAAGTGTACATGTGCATGTAATGTGTAGTGTGTTTCTAGTGTGTGTGTGTGTGTGTGTGTATGTGTGTGTGTAAAGTGTACATGTGCATGTAATGTGTAGTGTGTGTGTAGTCTGTGTGTGTGTGTGTAAAGTGTATATGTGCATGTAATGTGTAGTGTGTTTCTAGTGTGTGTGTAGTCTGTGTGTGTGTGTAAAGTGTATATGTGCATGTAATGTGTAGTGTGTTTCTAGTGTGTGTGTAGTCTGTGTGTGTGTGTGTGTAAAGTGTATATGTGCGTGTAATGTGTAGTGTGTTTCTAGTGTGTGTGTAGTCTCTCTGTGTGTGTGTGTGTGTGTAAAGTGTATATGTGCGTGTAATGTGTAGTGTGTTTCTAGTGTGTGTGTAGTCTCTGTGTGTGTGTGTGAAGATTTCAAGACATACAATTCATTTGTTTGAAATCAGGTAAAGAACACTTTTATCTACAGTAGCCATCCAATATGACCTGAGTGGACATTAGTTTTTCTCTATCGTTTTCTTGAACAGATAAATATACAAGCCTTCAACCATAACACAATCTAATAGTTGGTACCTTATTAATTAATTCTTTTGTTATTTGTCATTATTTGATAGTGATTCATAAACATAGGATTACTCCTACGCATTATAAATAAATACATTTCTATTAATATCATAAATAAGATAATAGATTCTGAAGACAATCGTTTGGATCGTGTCAACACTTATTGTGTGTATGTATTACACTGTAGTCAGTCGTATTCTAGCTAGTCTGGTCCAAGGAAACCGGCAGTTGATAGCTTGATACAACCAGCCAGGTGTTTCATCTTGGTTGTTGCCCGGCGCTAAAGAGTAGGACAGAAGACTGGGATATTATCTACCGCTGAATATGCACCCGAGGTACCCACCCATTGTCTAAATTAGCCAGTGGTTGGAATCTGCAACTGGACAAAAAAGGGCCGTTGGGTAGCCTAGTGGTTAAAGCGTTCGCTCGTCACTTTGAAGTCTGGCATCTACTCCCTCCTGAGTACAATACGGGAAGCTTCATCTTGGTGCCCCTCTCCCTGATGTTGTTACTGGAACAGATATAAGAGCGCCCTAAAATCATACTCACTCAGAAGATGTGTTAGGTCTAGTGGCGAATGTGTTTTAATATGTGCTGCGTTATGTATGAACATTTGGAAGATGCAAATATTAATTAACATATGTAGGGAATGAAGTTGTTTTTCTTTTTTAAATGAAAAATAACTCAATATTTGTTTTGTGCAGGTGGATTTAACGACTCAGACGAGGATCAGGTAACAAAACAAACTATTCATTTATCTATTTTACATATTTACTTGTTGTTTTATCCTCACGCGGTAATATTTCAGTTAAATCACGACGGCCGGTAAGTTGTAAAGTCTGATTCAGACAAACCAGTGATTGATATTATGACCAACTATGACAAGAAATTAACCAATAAATCAACTCCAGCTATTGAGTAGTCTTTAATGACCATCATAAGCTACTTGGGACGCCCCCCACCCCCACCCCACCCCACCCCAGTGTTGTAAAATCAAAAAGTAAATGAGCGAGTAACTATATTTATTTTCTAACTGTGGAAACCCTCCACTCATCCAATCCCTAATACCCAGGGGTGGTCGGGTTGCCTAGTGGTAAAAGCGTTCGCTCGTCACGCCGAAGACCCGGGTTCGATTCCAGACATGGGTACATGAAGCCCATTTCTGGTGTCCCCAGCCGTGATATTGCTGGAATATTGCTAAAAGCGGCGTAAAATCCAACTCACTCACTCACTCACTCACCTAATACCCAAATTTCAGCATCCACCCTGACATCCAACGAACCTCACCTAATCCATTACAAAACGTTACCATATTCTGTGTGGCTTCTTCTCTAGGTCAATGGTGGTGGCGGTGCTGCAAGTCAGGATGATCCCCTCACCCATCAAGAGAAGTCAGTGTACACCGAAAGGCTTGAAATCCGGAAACCTGGCATCGAAAATATTGCAAAGTCCGATCAATTTCAAGCATTTTTGGAGGAAACTGTACATGGAAAAAACATCAAAGTGGCGCCATGTCATGTCAACGAAGGTAAAATGATCTACCTTTTGTATTGTTTGTTTATTGTTTGACGCCTCACATGAACTAGTACATCACGGCAGCTTGTAAATAATTGAGTTTGAACCAGATAATTCAGTGATTGATATTAGTAGCAACGATCCACGCCATAGGGGTACAAGCCTGACCACCTGGTCCATTAGGTCGCTATCTACGACTAGTAATGGCTTCAAGGGACCAATTCTAACTGGATATCCCAACGGGGGCATGCCCTTTGTTAAGGGAATTGGAACATTGGTCATGAAATGTGTTTATCAGCTTGTCTACTCCATACACATCATTAGTTATATTTATATGAAAGTGACAATGTCTCTCACGTCTGTGGACATATATACATTGTATTTTGTTCTTTTCTTTAAAAAATACATAACACGTTGGCGTTTCAAGGCACTATGCTTAAATTCAAGGTAATTTGTCAAAAATTCAAGATACATGTTTAAAATATTTATATGTATTCAAGGTACTAACTTCAAAATGTTATCTTGAATTTTCAAGAAAAGAGTAAACATTATATGTCTCTTCAGTAGAAGATGCTTCAGAAATTGTTGTATTTTCTTCACATGGCGTTTCTGTTTTTAGAACAGGGGAGGATCATCATTAAGCAGGGCACGCTTGAGGCTTTAGAGGTAACTTCTGTGTCTACAACTGAAAGTCATTTGATGAAAGAAAGTGACTGCTACAGTTTGGGTTGGATGTGTCAGCTATAAGACTCAATCCAGTGATTGGTATTAGCCTGACCACCATATCCATTCGAATGTCTTTTATGATAAACGTAAACTGTCGGGGAAGAGAGTATAAACCAACTTCTGTTGATGGTTACGAATGAAACAAACAAGAAATTGTTATTCGATAGTGATGTATTTGACTCAGTGCCATGGTTTGGTACCATCGGTTTGCAGTGTGTCCGCCATTGGTTCCAGCCATGTAATGTGTTGATAAAGGTTAAAGTGTTTGGTCAAATTCTAATTCAATTGTACACTTTCGTATTTTTTGCTAAAAGTAATTTAATTGCATTAATCAGAAATGTCCAGAAACGTTTTGTCAACAAGGGGCTTCCTGAACACAGCATTCCTCACAGGCACGTTGTTTTCTGTCAGTGCTTGTATGGTTGAGTGGTTAGAGTGTATGTCCTGAGAGCGGAATGTCAGTGGTTCCATCCCCAGACCGCGACTTTGAAAATACTTGTTGTTACCCTGCCATGCGCTTGGCATTATGGGGATAAAGGGAGGACTAGACAACTGGATGTCATGGTCACTGGTCACCCGAGGCATGGTATCTAAGTGTGCATGGCGGCACGAGTCCAGACAAGTAGCCTGCAACCTCGGGGTATCGCGGTACTTGTCATGTTCGCGAAACGGACCAAATGCACTCACTAACCTTTATGTTTATTCGTGTTCTCTGTATCAGATATCATTCATGTTATCAAACAATGCATATTTTACTGATAAAAGTTCATTATTTACATTAGTAGCTCCGAGTAAAAGCCGGGCCTCGCGCTCTGTTTGACAAGGGAGAGAACTACATCGTATCGCGGTACAGAGAAAAGTTGTGTATGGTGGTCCGAATTGGACAAAAATAGGACACATTTCTACCAACCACTTGGTATGATCATGCCAGACATCAGTAATTTGTCCAGACAAGTGCAAAGACAGCACAAGTAAAATTCTAAATGTGTTATCAGCAATAGGTATTCAATGCATATTTACCGAAAAGTAAGAGAAAAATATTTTTATAAGTCAACATCAAAATATCAGAAATGATATTTTAAGATTGTTTAAAAAAAATTGAATGACAATAATTTGTCACAAAATGGAAAAAAGTTAAAAGTCAACAATAAATATATAAAAAGCACTCCTAGTATGCCCAAAGTATGTATTTATCTTTTGGTTACTAGTGAAGAACGTATTTCTAATTTAGCATTATGGCCCTGGTGATATCCCAATAGATTCTGGGCACAGAGCGGGAAAAATGTGCGGACTACGTAACTTCCGTTACCTCATTAGTCGCCATGAATATGCAGATGATCTAGTTCAGGTCGATAGAGAAAGTTTACTTGGGGAACTGCGGGTTATATCGTTGGCCATTAATAGATGGGGGTAAGGCAATATTACAACAGATGCTAGAAATATGTATCAACGCATTAATAACTCCTTACTTACAGCAGACGGAACATTCCGAGGAAATTGAAATTGTTTACGAAGTGAGCACTTCCTGGTTACTGATTTGCATCAATAGACAGCCGCTAAGAGGCGTGTCCCGCGTGAACTATCGGAAATCACAAATGCCGCGATACGATGAATGCCGCCGTACCATGGGGTCCGAGTATACATGCAACACACAAAAACGTTTGTACACGTCGCTATGTAATAATAATCTTAAACGCGACTAAAAACCCATTTCACCTCACCTCTTTCAGTTCAAGGTGGATGTGCTAGTTTGTCCAGCCTCCAAAACGTTGGACCTGAGTTATGGCGTGGTGGCAAAGGCTCTGTCTGAAGCTGCTGGAACAGAACTTCAGGAGGATTGTAAGAAGGAATTCCGAGTTAACGAAATGAAGGAGTATCATATGACGGTGACGCCACCCTATCGTCTCAAATGTAACAATGTCCTCTTTGTGGCCTTGCACCACTGGAACCATAGACAAGAAACCAAAGCTAAAGAGGTTGGTGTGAAATAATTTTGTTATTTTTTGTTTGCTGTGATGTCATTTACTGTAAATAATCGAGTCTGTAAATAAGTAATTGGTATCCTCGGGGTGATGACATGCTATAATCCAAGTCACCGTTCCTGACCACCGAATTCATTACGTCGCCTCTTACGAGTGGCAAAGGTTGCTGCTTGGGAGAGCTTCTTACCTGCCCCCCCCCCCCCCCCCCCCTTCCTTTCACACACACACACACACACACACACACACACACACACACACACCTTCCTTTCACACACACACACACACACACACACACACACACACACACACACACACACACACACACACACACACACACACACACACACACACACACACACATAGGAGTGGACTCAACCGGAACAACCTGAAAAACACGGGAGCATATGGTACAAATCAAAATAAAAAATTGCATCGGACATCATATTGTCAATGATATGTCAAATTTGGAGGTGTCCTTTGAAAGCTTTACTGAGGCCTTGAATGTTGTTAGCTTGTCATATGATCAAACAACTTCGGAGCAAGTGTCGTATCACGCTCTTTGAAATAAAGCTCAATAACAGATCTAAGAAACATCAGCTACGGGTCACCAAGCAGTGGAAGTGTTGTCACAGTTATAGCCATTATACATTTGGAACCGTAAGTGTAAATACGCAGTTCGCGAGAAACTTTTAAATAAATATGTACTGAAAGATTCCGACTGTTTATGAATCACTTTCAAATAGTGATGATATCATGTGTTCACGAACAGGTGAGTGTATCCTGCACAGGCAAGTGAATTGTTCACCTGATAAAATCTAATGCGAGTAAAATACTTACCTTTTTTCGCATTGTTTGTTCACATTTCAGATGTACCAATGGATACTCAGTGAATGCCTGGAAAAAATATCAAGGATTGAACCACTTCCAACGTCTGTTGCACTCCCTGCTTTGGGCTGCGGCAATCTCGGGTATCCACGTGACCTTGTGGCAGACTTGATGATGGACACGGTGAAGCAGTTTATACAAAGACAGAAGGTTGATGTATATGTGATACTACACCCCGACAACCCGGATGTACAGAAGGTACACCAAAGTCCTAATACAGATTGACCATTTGATGTTCTGGGAGAGGTCTGGGATTTTGTATCGAGATTAGATAGTTTTCAGCTACTGCGACAAAATCAGATATTTATTTGCTTAAAACTATAAACCTGGGTTTTATGTTTTAGAAAAACACTTTGCAACAATGTCATTTTTTGTGGCAGACAGTCAGAAGCATAATAATTTTTTTCAAGAACTTTCGCAGACAATTTATTGTTTTAGATAATATCCCAGGCCAGCCCCAGGCAAAAAGTTTGGTTGGACCCTTGGTTAAACTTTGCACGTTAGCGCTTATTTAGACTACAAATTCGTTCAGTTCACATACTGTACATGCTGGCTCTTGTATAACTTAATTCACATGCACGATTGTTTTTGTATTTTTTGTACTTATTCGAGGTTGTGTATATGAATGACATGCAAAGTCTTGTGTGTATATAGTCCATCCTCACTATAGTACATACCATCCAAAAAATTATGAAACGTCATGGCCTGGGATTCTCTTTAAGACACCGGCTATTGTTTCGGGACTTTGTCTTGACATTAGATGTTTGTTCATCTACAGCTGCAAAACCAGATATGTTGTTCATTTAAACATGAGTCGGAATAATATTTTGTGTATGGGTTTGTGACGTCATTCCTTTATATCCCTTCCAGGCATTCCAAGCAAGACGGGAAGGTATGTATTACATCATAATGTGTCATATCAAACAGAATTGAGAAAGTAATCATCTCTGATCGAATCTGTGAAACAAGTAAAACATTTCGATATGAATTATGTTAAATACTAAGATCACACATTCATTATTCGTGTTTAATAAGTTTTGTTTGAGCGTCTTCCAAGTCGTGATGGGCCTTTGTTGCAGCGTTTCACGTCGAGGACATCAGACTGACAGTCAGAAAAGGGGATATTTTGGAAGAACAGACCGACGTGATAGTCAACAGTATATCAGAACGCTTCAATCTGACTGGTAAGGTACATGTACTCTACATGCTATATACTGTTCTGTATACACGGCCCAGCACGCATGGACAGGCTTCATCACCCTTATCCTCAGATCTACAGCCTTTGGCTTGTGGGTGCCTTAACGCAAGTCAACGGAATAAACACATAAATCTGTTGTTATTTGGGAAAATACAGCTTTTGCGGAAGTATTCTATTCAGCGCGAATGAGCAATGCCATTTGATTGAGGGAGTCGCACTCATATTGAGACGCATTTTGGGATAGGTGCCAGCAGTCGCATTCATTTGGAGACGCATTCATTTGGCGACGCATTCATTTGAAGATTAACAGTATCCTCTCCAAAACTTGAAAATTGTAGATGATAATTCCCCGGATGGAAAGTAGTATACTGAAGTCGTCTACATATTCTCTTTACTGATACAGTGTCACAAAACAGTTTATTGTCTTTAGGATTATATAGAATTTGGTCTTTTGGCAATTAGATTTAGACCTATACTAATTGAAAGAGGATCGAAAGGTGCGTGATTGTGTGTCTTAGTTCTGTTTCGTTGAGTTACCTCCGCGGTCTCTTATATTGATGACATCACTGCAGCATAGAACCGAATAGAATAGAACCTGTATCAGCCAAAGCACTGACCGAAGTGAGTGAGTGAGTTAACATTTAACGTCACATCGGCAATATTTCAGCCATATCGTGACGAGAAGTTGGTCATTAATAATGCAAATTTTCCAGATGTCCATATATCATCAAATATGAAAAGTAAGGTTTCCAAACATGATTCTGGTAAATGTTTCAGGAGTTGATAATGTATGTTATCAGCCCCTAAAGCAGTATCATGAGCTTGCCCAAGGGCAGTATGGAGTTCATGAATGGAAAAGACTTCATTATAATCTTCCCCGTTATCTGAAGTAAAATTAATAGGTTTCTTTTCCTGCCGCTTTTTATATTTTTGAAATTTAGGTACATAGTTAGACGAGGAAGAATGCTCAGCTAGAGTTTCACCCAGTTTGTTTGCAATATCTGATTTATCAGTTAACAACCGATCGCCATTTTTAAGATGATGTATGCTTGATATATTACCCTTACCTTTAATTACATAAGTCGTAATGAAAAAATCCTCCAATAATTTACCGTTTGAATTGCTGTCATTACTACCCCAAAGTGGGTTATGGCCATTCAAATCTCCCATGATAACACAGGGCTTAGTGGTCATACAGTGCCTGAAGATCAGACTGTCGTAGAGAGTACGTTGGTGGGACATACAAAGAACACAAAGTAAAAACAATATTCAATGTTATACGTACTGCTACAGCCTGAAGAGGGGTATTGAGAGGAACAGGACTGTGAATGATGCCCTGCCTCACCATAACAGAAGATCCTCCAGTTGCTTTATCCCCTGGAGGGAAAAAGCAATGGTAAGAACTGTACTGTCTTAAATCAAAATTATCTGTGGTCTTGAGGAAGGTGTCTTGAAGACAAAATGCTGATGGTGTGAAATCTTGAATTAAAAGCTGAAGATCATTAAAATTATGCCGCAGTCCTCTACAATTCCATTGTATTAAATTGGTTGAGCAACTCATGGAGGCTCAATTGGAGATCGTGAGCGGGGGGAAGGTCCTCTACGCTGTAATGGTAGCGATGGAGTGACCTCCATATCTAGAGGTTCAAAGGTGTTATGAACCTCCACAGGAGCAGTCAATGACAAAGGTTCCTCAACATGTTTAAGGGCCTTTGCTTCTTTTCGTCGTTGTTTTTTTTCTTTGTTCGTGAGATTTCTATTTGTTTTGAGTTCAGGTACAGAGTCTGGTTGAATGGCAGGTTCTGGCAAAGGTGCAGGTTCTGGCAAAGGTGCAGGTTCCGGTAGTGGGTCAGTTTGCGAAGCTGAAGAAGGTGAAGAACAGATGTCAGCATCTATTTGAAACAAAATTTTCTGGTCAGTGGATACCCAGCTAATAGCTGTTTGACAGCTATTATCAGCCTTGATAGGCGAAGAGTAGATTACTGCAGAAAAGGTCCGTGAAGAAGTGGAAGTGGTTGATTCACTTGTAACCAACTTCTTCGCGTCTGTAAATGAGATATCATTTGTGTATTTCAGTTTCAGAATTTTAGTTTGTGTCACAAAAGAGGGACACGTTTTAGCAGTAGACATGTGATCGCCGCTGCAGTTTGCACATTTGACAGTATGTGTGCAGTCAGTGTTATCATGGGTCTTACTGCAGCGGGAGCAAACTTTGGTATGGCGACAGGATTTGGCTCCATGTCCAAACTGTTGACATTTGATACAACGGAGTGGATTCGGAATATAGACATCCACTCCGATGTTGAAATAACCAGCTTTAATGGAGGAAGGTAGCTTAGTGAGGTTAAACGTGAAAAGGTACGTAGTTGTTTTTATGATGGTGTCACCATCTTTCCTTGTGAACCGTTTCACAGAAGATACACCTTGAGACTTTAATTCTGAAACAATCTCGTCTTCAGACATATCTGAGAGGCACTTTGCACGGTCATGGGCAATGCCTCTACAGGAATTCAATGTTTTGTGCACAGAGACCGCAATCTCTGTATTTGCAATATGATCAGCGTTGAGTAGATTCAGAGATTGCTGTCTCCTTGCACACTCCACAAGCAGTGAACCGGACCGGAGACGAGTAACATTCTTCACGGTACCACAAATGCCTTCAATTGATTTTGAAACAACAAAGGGGTTCAGTTTGAGAGGCTCACCATCAATCCCTTCAACTACCAGAAATCGTGGCCAAGAATCAATATTTTGTACAGAATCCTCATCAGAAGATGTTGCAGGATCTGTATCAATATGCCATCTTTTAGTTTTTGGTCTAGAACCAGTGATCTGTGGGGAAGCCATAATGAAAAAAAGACTTTCGACATCCCTGCTCCCCACCCACCAATGGAGTGTCTACAAGGACGGTGCTGCAGTGGAAGCCGACTACAAACACCAGGGTTACAGGCATGCTATACTCGACCAATACAAACACGGGTAGCTAAGAGAGTCAAACAGAAATAAAGTCAGGCTGGTTCCGCCCTTGGCAATTTTCTGAAGACAAATAGAACCCGGAGGTCAATAATGCCAGATTGGCCCATGAGCCACCGCCTTCAGGCATGGGACTCTAAGCAGATTAATAACACATACAAATTTGGATCTTTTCCATAATTATTTTGTGGAATATAAGTACATAAGTACATACATACATATATATATATATATTCAAAATCAAAGTTGACCATACACAGGGCATGGCATGACCAGCCGATTGATAGAACCGGGCCAATTCTACCACCCGTCTAGATGAAGGTAGGATCAAAGTGGTGTGTTGGGCAAAGGAACACTGTTCCTGGTTCTAGTGCCCTCAACCACCAGAATCCCTTCCTCCACCGACACAGGGGCGCAACCCACGGCAAACAGGTTGCCCAATTCGGTCGCCTTGTACGACCAGCAATGGGGTGCTGTGGAAACATTCTGCATATTTATCGTCAATCACAAGCTGTCAGTAAATCCCTTGTCAGTGGATGTTGTTTAGCGCCGCAGTCAGTAACATTCAAGCTACATCACCGCGGCCTGTAAATAATTCACGTCTCGGTGAAGCAACCTAATGGTTGACAGCATGAGCGACAGTCCACATCGTAGAGGCATGATGGCATACAATAACCTAGGACACACAGATAACCATCTAATCCACATCAGGAAATTATTCACTCTGAGCATTGTTTCTTGTGCTTCTTGCTGATTGGCGAGTTTGTCCAATTGTTCCACTGTTTTATTGTCTGAAAAGGGGCCAATGGAAATATGTCATTTGTTTCAGAAACCCTTTCAACAGAACTGGTAGAACGCTTTGGAGAGCCATTCAAGAAGGATTTCAGAAAAAATCGTGAGTTCCATATGTTTTTGGAGATATCTGTTCACAACGTTTCATGTTGAAGTTTAAAGTAAAGTGGATTCAAGATTAACTTTATAAAAGAGCGGCTGTGTTGAATTATCTGAAACCTTTACCATGCTATATAACAGATACAGCATACACAGAACTAAAGACGCTGAAGTAAATGATTGTAACACAATTATAACTAACACCAACAACAGAAATAACATACACAGACGTAAACGGGATCATCTCACAATCACACAACTACCGTAAACAGTATATATCTGACCGACGCTTGAAGATCCAGGGTAGAATAGGTCTTCAGCAACCCATGCTTTCCGTAAAAGGAGACTATGCTTGTCATAAGAGGCGATCGTAAGAGGGATCGTGTGGTCAGGCTCGCTGACTTGGTTGAGGCATGTCATCGATCCCATTTGCGGGGATCGATGCTTATGATATCAATCACTGGATAGTCTGGTCCAGACTCGATTATGTACAGACCGCCGTCATTTAGCTGGAATATTGCTGAGTGCGGCGATAAACAACAAACCAACCAACCAATACATCTGTCAAGGGATAATGTTGTCCCAAATGTTCTCATATACATAAACTATTCTTGCTCTTTAGCATACTTTCCTGTTTGATAGTTCCAGCTCTGCAAAAGTCTGGATTATCGTTTTGCAAGTCGTGCAGACCTTGGACTTGTGTAGTACATCTTTGCGCCAGCGTGTTTAAAGGGAAGAACGGAACAGATTGGCTGGCAGCAATACTTTCATGCCTCAAAGAATCTGGGGAAAAGTTCAAACCAGCGTCTGTGGCCCTTCCTTGTCTTGGCGTTGGTATGTGAAATATTTTGTATATTTGTAACGATAATTCCCAGTTCACACTTCCCTGCAAAAAGGTTTGCTTTGAAGGTGTTCCGATTGTGATTGAACAATGCTGAAGAGATGACGGACCCATTTCATTGTCGCATGAAAAGTTTGCAAGTATGTTCAGTGCAAAGGATTCAGGGTACGAAAATAGGTCCTAGCAAACATTTGCTTTTCGCAAGAGACGAATAACGGGATCGGCTGCTCAGGCTTCTTATCCCAGTTGCGTGGATCGATGCTCATAATGTCAATCACTGGATTGCCTGGCCCAGACTCGAGCATTTACAGACCGACGTCATACAACTGGGATATCTCTGAGTTTGGCGTTACACAACAAACAATGAAAGAATTCTCTTTATACAGTTTCATTCTTTGAAAACAGCAAAACACGGGTGTTCTGGACAGCGATTAGGTCCTCAATTGTAATGTACTTCTATTCATATTCAATAGACATTCCTCTATGGCAATGATCGTTAATCTGATTAATCTTGTTTCTATCCGATGGATAGTGTTTGTTTGTTTGTTTGAAGTTTAACGCCACACTCAGCAATATTCCAGCGGTCTGTACATAATCGAGTCTGGACCAGACTGTCTAGTGATTGATATCATGAGCATCGATTTACGCAATTGGGATACGATGACATGCATTAAACAAGTTAGCGAGTCTGACCACCCGATCCCGTTAGTTGACTCTTACGACAAGCATAGTCGCCTTTTACGGCAAGCATGGGTTGCTGACCTATTCGACCCCGGATCTTCATGGGTTACGACAAGCATGGGTTGCTGAAGACCTATTCTACCCCCAACATCACGGGTTACGGCAGGCATGGGTTGCTGAAGACCTATTCTACCTCAGATCTTCACGGGTTACGGCAAGCATTGGTTGCTGAAGACCTATTCTATCCCGGATCTTCACGGGTTACGGCAAGCATGGGTTGCTGAAGACCTATTCTACCCCGGATCGTCACGGGTTACGGCAAGCATGGGTTGCTGAAGACCTATTCTACCCCGGATCGTCACGGGTTACGGCACGCATGGGTTGCTGAAGACCTATTCTACCCCGGATCGTCACGGGTTACGGCAAGCATCGGTTGCTGAAGACCTATTCTACCCCGGATCTTCACGGGTTACGGCACGCATGGGTTGCTGAAGACCTATTCTACCCCGGATCTTCACGGGTTACGGCAAGCATGGGCTGCTGAAGACTGTCTTCATCAGTCAGGTGACTAAAGGGATCAGGTTGTCAGACTTGATAATTTGGTTGATGCATGTCATCGAATCTTAATTTCGACGATCAATGCTCATGTTGTCAATCACTTGATCACGACAAGCAAAGTCGCGTTTTACGGCAAACATGGGTTGCTGAAGACCAATTCTACCCCGAATCGTCGCGGGTTTCACTAAAAGTGGTACCAACTGGAATACCGGTACCTCTAGAACAGGACATGCTCAACCATTCTGGTTTTCAGTGGTTAATTCACATAATTTTCATCACTTTTTGCCTTTAACACCCAGTGATCGCATAAAGAAGATGCTTCCCTTGCTAACAGTTACTCAATATATTTACGTTCGTTTTGATCAGGTTCTGAGCGTCTTTCCCCCGAACAACTGGCGGAACTCTTGCATGATGCCATAGAACAATACCGAGCTGCCGTTCACTTCAAGAAACATCGCATCAACGATATCAGGCTGTTAGTGCTTCGTGACGAAGATTTTGATCGAATCGTCACCACGTTGCAGGACATTCAGGAGAGAAACAATAAACGTCTCGAGGGTAAGACCTTTTTTATCATTCAATTAATATAAATTCTTTAATTCCTTAAAATAATCAAATGAAAAAATAGTGGTTATTTTATTTCAGTTATGTTTCAGATATGTTTTTCTGTATATTTTTTTATTGACGCCAGGGTTCGATTCCCAACATGGGTAAAATGTGTGAAGCCGATTTCTGGTGTCCCCGCCGTGATAATATGTAATATTGCTAAACACAGCGTAAAACCACACCCACTCACTCACTCTTTTGATTGACTACTGTCAAGAATACTCTTGCTATAACATATTTGAGCCTAGGCCATACAAACCAGTGATTACTATTATAAAGAACGTGCCATGTCGAATGATATTGGCACACAATCATGTCACAAGAACCTGGGCACACGATGTCGCAAAAAATTCCAAGAGCACTACTCTGTACCGGGTCGTTGATTTTTGTATTCCCGCCTTAAGATGAAAGGTGATATGATGTAAATATATAGATTTTGTAATGTGTCAGTTCAATGAAATGGCAGGTCTCGGTACAATGTACACTTCAAAACTAAACAGACCCAAAGAACAAATGGCACATCAGCCGGGACTATTGTTCAGTCGTAAGAGTATGAATCGAGTGGTCGGGTTCTGTGACAGCTGAATGTGAACATTGACACCATTGACAAACAATCCTCATATTTGTTTATAACAGCCACGGGGCAAAAGCAAGTATATGATCTTTACGTATCATCTACTGAAACGTCAAAGGTGCAGGATCTTGCTGGGCAAATCCGAAGCTTTGTCGATGCAAACGTACGCAGTGAGGCTGTTGAAGCCGACAGGCTGGTTTCTGCAATGTCCAAAGAGAGGGTGAGTTCATTTCTTCAACTGTCGTCCAAATGTTTCTAATCACAAAATATTTTAATGATTAACGTGGTTATAAGGCCTTCTTATTGGAGGTAGATATGTTCACGAGTTGCTAATTTGGTATTCAATGTTTGAGATGGACGATCTTCAACAACTTGCAAGGAATCACACTGTGGGCTTGAAGGTGATCGGATGCAAGCTGATACTGTTTGGCATGGACGTAGACATAGCCAAGGCGAAGGTTGACATCAAGAGGTTTCTGAGAACATGTCACAGCGCTAAATGGAGTTCGGCGAAGGATGACCACAATCTCGATCTGGACTCAATCAATGGCTATGTTGAGGATGCTTATCAACACAACAAAAGATACACATTGTTTACGGATCAGTCCGATAGGCTCTACAGGCTGAAGATCAAAGACGGGAAGGTTTCGATATGCCAGGATCCAGATAAACGAGAGATACAATTACAGAGAAGAGGTGAGTTTGGTGATAATTATGTTTGGCCGTTATGTACACAGCTGTATAAGAAGCAGTACAAAAGTAGTATCCTGTTATAAATGCCTCCTTGTGTGAAACTCTGTGTCAAGCTATCTGTTCTTTCGTTGCATTTCCACTATCAAATATAATCCCTGGTAACCCCAGCTTGTTGTAAAAGAAGACTAAATGGGTTAACTACACATGTACTTGTTCATTGTTTCCCAATTGCGTGGGTCGATGCTCATGATGTTAATTACTGATTCTACGGTCCAGACTCGTTTCGTTACACTGTGTATGTGTTGTTATTGCTGTTGTTGTTTTAACGCCGCACTCAGCGATGTTGCGAGGCTATTCCATGCTACGACCTTTAATGGAGTATTCACACCTCCTTATTTACTGGCACATATTTTGGGGGCACATATTTTGGGAGCACGGGTGGCCCAGTCGTCTAAGGCGCCGCGATTCGCTGTGCAGAGTTGCGTCCCTTGGGCACGCTAGAAACCTATGATTGTGAGTTCGAGTCCCGGTTCGCCCCGATTATGTTTCTAGGTTTGTCAGCACCATACCCGTGCTCGTGGGTTTCACCTAAGTGGTAAACGTCTGAGACCTGCATCACTTTTCTCCCACATTAAGCTGACACGCCGTGATATAACTGGAATACTATTAAAAGCAGCATTAAACCCAACTCACTCACTCACTGGCACTACATTTGTGTGAGAGACGGATGGTACCAGAAGAGCAAGAAATGACCTTCCTTTTTGCGAACACCTGGTGTCATAACTGATATCGAGTGATCCATTCGTGGCATTTTCATCACTACTTTGCTTTCACGCCTAATGGATCAGGTTGGGAAGATATTCGAGTCTGAAATTGACTGAAGAACACCTCATGTTGTCGTGGTACGATGACTCCCACTCTCAGACCCTGTCCATCTGGTCTCATTTAGTCGGGGGCACGGGTGGCCCAGTCGTCTAAGGCGCCGCGATTCGCTATGCAGAGTTGTGTCCCTTGGGCACGCCAAAAACCTATGATTGTTGGTTCCCCCCGATTATGTTTCTAGATTTTTCAGCATTATACCCGTGCTCGTGGGTTTCACCGAAGTGGTAAACGTTTGAGACCTGCATCACTTTGGGCTTTCCTCCAAGATTAAGCTGACACGCCATGATATAACTAGAATACTGTTGAAAGCGGCGTGAAACCCAACTCACTCACCTCTTTAAGTTATGCTCCTGAGGTGGTTTTCCTTGTGGCACAGTTGGCCCTGTCGTCTGACCCGCAGTCAATTGTGCAGCTGTGCACTACTGAATACTACTGAGTACTATTAAAAGCGGCTTTTAACCCAACTCACTCACTCGCCTCATATGACAAGGAACAGAGCTCTGGAGCACCTACATTTATGCTAACCTTGAGCCCCACGTGTATGATTGAATGCATTAGAACATTTTATCTCTTCAGTCTCCGTGACGTATGATGACATTCCACTCAACTGGTCGCTTCAGCACCAAGGAGTCACGGACTGCGTCCCTGTGGACAGAGATGGGGAAGAATTCAAAAACGTCATTACTCGCTTTGAAACTCAGAGGAAGTCCAAAAGTGAGAAATTTCACATAAAAGAAGTGAGTCTGCAACAGCAATATGGTCCATTTCAACCATGTACACTACCTCATATGTCGAAATTAAAGTTCAAATTGAGTAGTGATCACAGTTCATTAAACCAATGTAATTCAGTCAGATAAGGCACAGATATCGATGTGCAGAGTCCTGCTCGTTTTTGGTGTCGGTATCGTGTGAGCGAGTGTTCAAATCTTGGTCTAGTCTTGGTCTCTCAGTATCCCACCGTGGTCAGCGTCTACGCGTCTAAACCCTGGACCACTTCGCTCCCATGTTAATACATGACTTCCATACTGTTCAAAGAGGCGCTATGCCCAGTACACTTGCCCACATGCTCTTCAGCTGTACATTTTCATCATCAGCCAGATTGTACGTAATGTTTTCGGAAATACATTATTATACCCCGCCACGAAGTGGAAGGGGTTTAGGAATGGGTGCTGTCCGTCCGTCCGTCCGTCAACTTTCTTTTCCGGAGCAGAACTAAACAGTAATGAGAGATATCTTAACTGAACTTGGCACATAGGTGTTGTACTTGTGCCTTTTGATTGTTTGGGATTTTAAAAAAATATATTCTTTTTTAGTTTCCATGCCAACCTCATTTCCTGAGCAGATGTTGAATACTGTACAAAATGTCTTCACCAATCTTGGCACATAGATAGGTCTAGTGGTAAACTGGTGCCTTTTGATAGTTTGGGATTTCAATTAAAAATAGGTTTCGAGTTTCCATGGCAACGACTTTGACTTAGACTAAAATGGGCGGAAAAACCGTACACTATTTCGTGCCTTGCACACAACCAGACATTTCATATTGGCCGGGGATATGAGTCCTTCAATGCAATAATAAGTATATGTCATGCGACTGATAGGGGCGGTCGGGTAGCCTGGTGGTTAAAGCGTTCGATCGTCACGCCGAAGACTCGGGTTCTATTCCCGACATAGGTACAATGTGTGAAGCCCATTTCTGGTGTCCCCCGCCGTGATATTGCTGGAATATTGCTAAAAGCGGCGTAAAACCATACTCACTCACTGAGACTGATACTTTGGATAATCTTCTTCAGGTATATCGGATTGAGAACAGGCTACTACACAGGAAGTATAAGGCAGAAGAGGAACGACTTTCCCTACAAAATGGCTGGGACAAAGTCAATGAGCGCATACTCTGGCATGGAACCAGCCAGGGCTCAGTTGAAAACATAAACACAAATGGATTTGACAGGAGTTACTGTGGTGCAAATGGTGAGTTCCGTCGGCATGTTATCATGAACTTTTACACACAGGATGGTGAGATACTAAATCCGTACGTTACACGTGTGTCACACAAAGTTGACTTAGGTGTATTTGTTTTGAGTTCTCTCAGGTCACGCATGAAACTCAAATTTTGTCGATATTCACAAATAATAAGGAGACTTTTTCGAGATTAACACTTTACGAAAGCAAACAAGATCATTACACGCATCAAATTCGGTTCGAATCCTTCAGTTATGCATAAGTCTACTACAGAAATTACCTACTCGAGCACATCCATTCCATGTGGCGTGTACGACTACAGATAGATTGGGGTCCCTCAGAGCGTGATGATGTAAATGCAATTAAGTTCAAGGTGGCAAAATTAAGACCGCCTAAAATATTTCGACCAATTTATAAACTTATGTTGATTCGTCTGTGTATTTTGTGGCACTTTCGATCAGTCACACTGAACATCTAGGTACAAATCATACGAAAACTCCTTGGAAATGTTCCTGATTTCGTGGGTCAAAATATCTCAGATGTGAACATTAACTTTTTACATTAATTTCTAGCGTGTGACGTTGTATGTTGATCACGGTTATCTTTTCTTATTCTGAAGGTGACCTTGCCCTTCGTTTGAAGCTGCCACTGACACAATATGCAAGCAGACTCCCGTTTGGGTATATTGTCGATTAGTTAATATGAACTTCTTTGGCAAACACTCTGATTTCCCTTTCAATATAACGAATATCTGACAGGGATTAATACCCTGAGTAGACAAGTGATGGCATCTTCAATTTTGTTACTGTTAAGGCATAACTTGACAAAAGTTGTGTGCACGGTAATCAAACGGATGAGCGGACAGTTAGTCCAGTAATGCGATTTCATATTTGGGGGAATTAAATTCTAGGATTTTTTCCAGATACAGCTACAAAACCAGATATATTTATATTTAAAACATTTATTTATATTCAAAACTATCAGTCCATTTCTATTCAGAAAAAAACACCTTGCATCAATGTAATAAAGAGGTCGGCCCTTCAGAATAGTAGAATATGAATTTGCGCTTATTGTGTTTCTAAGTTTGTCAGCACCACAAACGCGATTGGGTTTCACCAAAGTGTTAAACGTCTAAGGCCTGCATTCATGAAGTTGACAGGTCGTTAAAAAGTTAAATATGTTTCACGGTGGCATAAAATCAGAATCATTCACTCACTCATGCTCACTACTTCTCGTCGATGTTGATATATTTTATTAAAAACAATTCATTGTTTAGCCATCAGATTTGGTGAAGGGACCTACTTTTCTGTCGACCCATCCTATTCGTCCAGCGACACATACTCGCCTCCAGATTCCAAAGGATTGAAATACGTGTATCAGGCGAAGGTACTGACTGGCATTCCAGTGGAAGGGAAGGTAACGATGAAGTACCTGCCAGTGAGAGCAGGCACAAGCACTCCCTATGATTCTGCTGTCAACAACTTGAAGGACATCAAAACCTATGTCATCTTCAAGGATGATCAAGCTTACCCTGAGTATCTAATCGAATTCACCCATGCGGTCGGCAAGCAGGTGGACATGACAGGAAGCAAGACAAAAGCCGATCCTTGTGATGCGCAAGACAACAATGCTCCAGCAATGACTCGGTTGTAGTTTACCACTGAAGAGTGGTCAGTCACAATAACCTCAATCGAACTCAAGTGATCACATGCGGAAACAGCTGTTAGAACCCTTGTCCTTTCTAGCCCCGGTTTGTGGGCAAGTAGGTAGCAAGTTTGAAGTGTCGGAGTATGTTGTGGACACATAAATTGTTGCAGTGTCGGACACCTATTTCTGAAAACATCCTTGTGTTGAACTGTATTGGAATACTGGTTTCGAACCAAATTGAATCTGTCATATATCTGTAATTCTTTATCAATTAGCCAATATTTACACACTTACTGAAAAATAGCCCCTGAAGTTCCTCTTAAGTTTCTCATTAATATTTGCCCATAAAGACGTTAAAAGATGGTACTTGTTGAAACACTGTCTGGCGCTCGGCATTAAGGGGAAAAAACAATGACTAGTCGGCTCGGAGTCAGTACACTGTGTCTGACGGGGGTATTCATGTTAAACCGCGGCATGGTATCTCAGTTGAGTAGCACTATAAATCGGCATCAGTCCGGACTAGTATAAGCACCCACCACCCCTCCCTCCCATCACTTCACCTTGAAATGTATCTGTTCAATGAGCATTGTGTTAATGTTGTATAAATGTATTAAACACAATTCATTCTGATGTGTCAGTCTGGTACTGGTACTTATATTGCCACTGCTGAGCTAGAATTAACGCTTATCATTGTGACAGTGCTGTCAGAACTTGTATTACAGTTCATTGTTTGTTGGTACACAGTTTTCTTGTACTTGATGTTTTGATATTGTCGTTCCTTTCCCCTAAGAACTAATTCTCTGACAGCACAGTGTCAAAATACAGGACACATTTCACTGCGTCACAACGTTCCACGAATGTGTTTTGAGAGTGTGTGTCCTGTGTTTTATTATCATGATTTCAGATGAATACCTTTGCTGAATTAAAGAACATAAGTCCTTTCTGGCAAATTGATAAAGTTATTGCCAATAGTTGTATCTTGCAGCAAGTAATTACCATGTAATTTAACCATTTCAAATTAACAGTGTATTGTTTCCACAAATTTCCAATTCACTGTTACATTTTTGAAAAAAAAGTAAAAGGTCATTTTTACATTTGTAATGACACATAAGTTAAACTAACAGGGGAAAATGATCAACCTATTTTTTTCGAATTGTTAACATTCCGTGTATGAATCCAGCTTACTGATTCAGAATTCAACGTTTTCAGGTATCAGATGTCCATGTAGCTGTTTGTGTAACGTAGCGCGAGTCCTGAACGACCTCAACGCTCGTACATAAATAGAAATAGGTTCTTGAATTAAACCCTAATTTCGGGCGGTCCGAATCCATTGCTCAAAGCAGCTTGACTCAGGGAACTAAAGTACAACATCGGAGCAGATTTACATATAGTTTATTGAAATAACATTCTCATACAAAAACAAGCTATGATATAAGAAACACTGCTCTGACTCAATAATATAGGAATGGCGGGTTGAAAAAGATCTATCTTACCTAGCACGTGTTAAATAGAATGATAGGTCAAGTATTTCCCCGACAGCTACTCGAGATGACAGCGAGTGTTACAAAATAATAATGCGACAATTTACATCCTACAACATTTCAATAACATGTCTACAAGTCATGAAGCGTGATTTTTATGCAGAAACGACAGCTTGTATATCCAATCAGGGACTGGCTTTCTTCGCTCTTCAGCCTAGCCAATCAGTGTCTACGACTCTTGGCCGATGACACCCAATCCTGTCGGAATGCTAGTCGTAGATCGTTTGGTTTCCGATAACTTGCGAAGACAAAGCAACTGCTAAAATCGTTACAATAGCATGTTGCCTTTGAACTGAGTGAATGCATAGAGGTTATCACGCGAGTATTTTGGAATAGTAAATACATTGTGTCAGAATATTTACCTTCCCAAAACGCACAAGCGGGACCACTTCATCATGGAACGTCGTTCTTAATTTCTGTCGCCGAAAGACCAGAAACTTCCCAGGTATGCGCGAATTAATATATATTACGTCAGAAGGTCAGTGATGTGTTATTGGGGCAGCAACAGCAGTCAAAATAGTTCCAATTCAAACCTGTTTCCTAGACAGTGGCGAAAAAACATACAGGCAAAATGACAACTGCCAACACATATGGTTTCTACAGGCCTTTCTTGGCAATATATCGGTCCGCTTGATAAGAGTACCCGCCCGTTATCAAAGTTACTCTAACCCTAGTCCGTGAGACTTTACGAGTCTTCCTGTCCTGTCATAGTGTTATTAAGTGCAGTGTCAGATGTACACACTGCGACAAATTAAACAAGGTACCATAATTCGGCCCGAAGCTGCAGAGGTGTACTTTTTTTTTAAAAATAATAACAATTATCCCAGTAGTTTCTCCAGGTTCCCGATGGTCATTTCAGACTCGATCTCCGATAAACAAGGGCAGTGCCATGTTTGTTTGTAAACACTGAAAGAAGTACCTACCTGACCTTTCATATTTGCAATTTTATCCGTATATGACCCCTCCCGATACTGGTTTTAATAGTTCGCTTAATCCTGCCGGGATACGTACTCGTTGTATGATAAAGTATAATATTTACAGCTTTGTAACTGAGAAGCAGTATTTCAATTTGGTCATGTGACAGCGTGATGCAGGGGGAAATATCCGAACTGTTGCAGTTGTCAGATGTTTAGCTCTTCAGTGAAACCCACGAGAATGAATTTAGTGCCCCAAAGCCTAGAAACATAACCAGGACAAATCTGTTATTTGAACACACGATCCTATGTTTTTAACACGCCAAAGGGACACACTCTGCACAGGGTATTACAACGCCTTATACGAGATGGACATCAATGCCCCGGTGATAATAACGTATATACGAAAATGGTTCAAAGAAGATTATTAAAGTTACCACTGTATTTCCTTTATCAAACACCCTACTAGCTTCTCATCTGAACAGTGCACGTGTACACATGCACTATATAAATTATATATATATACTATACATATACAAACGTGTATATTCACAAGATAATTTGAAAAATCTTAAATTCTCATGTTACAAATATTTAACGACTTTTTACACATATGTACCAGGGAGACAAGGAACTACCGAAAGTGGTACATTTAAAAAAAGATTCCTTTTTTAGATTTGTTACCTACTAAACACATAAAATAGAAACACAAGATCTTCCTCTCTATCCAGAATAGGTTTTTAATTGGCCTGGTGGTTCAAGGAATAAAAGTGACAAAGCTCTTTTCATATGTCAGAAAAAATCTGCTGGTTTCAGGTGAATTCTGTTCTGCCGAAGCAGGTTTCCATTTAATGTTAGTAGTTGGTATGATCTCGGCTCTGACAGGGATTTAACCACTTTGCCGTTGACCCAGCTTTTGGAGTTATTTTGAAACATGACTACATCTTGTCCAGGAATTCAGTTTTGATAGATTTCCTGCATGAGCGTCAAAGTGACTTTTCTGGTAATTCTGACGCTTTTGAAGTCTCTCGACGTTATCTTCATCAGACTGTGCTCTCTGCAGTCTGCCAGTTGTTGGATGCTGAGTTCGGTAATCTCTGTGGTTCAAGAGTTTTGCAGGTGATTGTAGGTCCGTATCAACAGGTGTTGTCCTGTATGACAGGAGTCCAAGATATGGGTCTTGACCTTCAGCTTCAGACTTTTTCAGTAAGTTCTTCACGGCTTGACCAATTTGATATCCTGACAATATTATGTAATAGCGCAACTCATTACACTCATGATGTCAATCACTAGATTGTCTGGTCCAGACTCGAATATTTACTGACCGCCGTCATATAGTTGGAATATTGCGGCTTTAAACATCAACCAAGTCACCGAGTCTGACCACCCGATCCCGTCAGTCGATGGTCGACAAGCATGGGTTGCTGAAGACCTAATCCGGATCTTCAGGGTTCTCCTCTGCTATGAGAGGATTACATTCGAGCATGTCCTGCCTACTGATTTTTCCACAAGGGATAAATATTGAACGCAAAATCAGTTAAGGATCCCTTCAAGAATGCTCATTTTCATTTCATCAAAACATTTAAAAAAGAAATGGGATCATTTAAAAAGGTTTTGTATAAAGATTCGTATTAAATAAACTGGTGGTGATGATTAATTAGTCACTGAGATTGTTGTTGGCTACTCTAGCGAAGGGGGATAGAAAAGGGAGAAATAACTGTGCTCCCAAAAGGTCATGTAACTGTGTTGTGAGTGGATGCCCAGCTTTGTCCCAAATACAGTATCTTAAGCGACATGATTGAGTGGCTCGATCATTTTATTACCGTCTTCGCAATGCTTGTGATTTTGACGCAGAGGTCCATCCATGGTACGACCCAGAATATGTAGAGGGCGTCATGGAAAATGAATGAAAATTCTTTTTCACGATATTCCAACTATATGCCGCAATATTCCAACTATATGACGGCGGTCAGTAAATATTCGAGTCTGGACCAGACAATTTAGTGATTGACATCATGAGTGTAATGAGTTGCGCTATTACATAATATTGTCAGGATATCAAATTGGTCAAACCGTGAAGAACTTACTGAAAAGTCTGAAGCTGCAGGTCAAGACCCATATCTTGGACTCCTGTCATACAGGACAACACCTGTTGATACGGACCTACAATCACCTGCAAAACTCTTGAACCACAGAGATTACCGTACTCAGCTTCCAACAACTGGCAGACTGCAGAGAGCACAGTCTGATGAAGATAACGTTGTTCTAAATGGCATTGGGAGCCGTGCCAATTTACACTTGTCAGGGGGGTACTCAAAGTACGTGATCTAGACTACCAGTTGTCGGACTTTCACTTTTGTGGAAGCCTCGGTGGCTGAGTGGGTTAGATCGCTGACTTGGTGTGCTGGCAATTAGGTGCCTCACCCTGGCAGGTGTAGGTTCGAATCCCGGACGGGACTCAACCCTAAAAAAAGTACTAGAGTCTGTACTTTACTAAGGAAGTGTTATCCCAAATCTAACATTTGACCACTTTCTAAATGGCATTGTGTATTCATATGTATGAATTGCTAATATTACTTTTCGCAGACGATGTTAGACTAATTTCTGATACTGTTAATGGGCTTCAAATACAAATAGACATATTGTTTCAGTATACCATCTCCTGGAAACTAACTGTTAATACAGATAAAACGAAAATTGTTGTTTTTAGAAAGGGGGGTCCTCTTGCATCCAGGGAAAAATGGTATATAAATGGGCAACAAATTAATGTTAAAAAACTTATAAATACCTTGGTGTCATTTTTCCTTTTAATCTGAAACTAAGTCACCTCGTCAACGATCTTGCGCTACGAGCTAAGAGAGCCCTCATTACTTTATTTGTTGTTCTTGATAAACTCGGTTTGTCTTCCCTGCCTGTTTTCCTAAAACCTTTTGATTCTCAAGTTAAACCAATTTTGTTATATGG